GTCACTGTCAAGCATTCGAAGATGGACAGCTTATCCAATCGTGTCCGTGCTGTCTGATTCCAATACTAGCACGAACTGGCTTATGCACGCTTTTAGTCTAAACATCAATTTACTTGAATCAGCGGGGTTTCGTTTTCGCCTCAGGGCCAAGACCATACGCACGGGAAAGGGCTTGGTCGTTTGTCATTGAAAGGTTGAATTTAGAGTATTGAACCCTGCCTCTCGGAGGATTGCGGTCCCAAAGTTTATGGACAGGCCGACTCCAAAATCGACAGAACTCTCGCTTTCCCCATCAGCTTTCAATGACTTCTTCCCATTGACCACTTCATGTCATCTTCCTCTGCGGATGTCAGGGTCCTACCTCCGGAATCGCGGTCTTGAGTTACGCACCTGAGGCTAATTGCTCCTTAGGTACCATGCTTACTTACTTTCTAATACCTGAGACATCATCATGGATTTTGCTGGACTTTGGTCTCTAAGTAAGGTAGGTACTAAAGTAAAGTATGTGGACACCAGTAAGAATTTTCCGTGTTATGTTGTACCGTCTGCGCGGTCATGCTACGAACTTGCAAAGGACACGATAATTTCCTCTGACATCGGGATGAGGTTGAAAGTATCCGCTGAGACTAGGTCGATACAGGTGGCTCGCATGAATGGTTGATAAATCACGTTTCAAGGTCATGCGGCCAGAAACAAAGAAATCAACACATTGAGGCTTGGCTAAAAAGCAAACCAACTCCAATCTAAGATCATCCTGCCTGGGCCATGACCACCCCGTGAGAAGATGAGACACCCATATCTATAGCTTTGCAACGCCGAATCCATTCTGCCTGGCTCGTCCAAGCAGGCCTCTTGAAATATCCTTGAGCTTCGCCGTTCCCATCAGTGCCATAGCTCTTGTCAACTCTCTCTCGAGGATGTTGAGAACTCCCTCGACTCCCTTCTGACCGTCCCAAGCCAATCCCCACAGCGCGGTTCTGCCAATGAGAACCAGGTCGGCGCCGAGGGCGAGGGCTTTGAAGACATCGGTTCCCCTTGTGATACCGCCGTCGACAATGACAGGAATTCTGCCTCTTACGACATCGGTGATCTCAGGCAATGCCTCAATTGTCGATGGTACACCGTCGAGTTGGCGCCCTCCATGATTTGACACGACGATGGCATCAACACCAGCCTCCACTGATCTCTGGGCATCTTCCGCAGTCAATATTCCCTTGAGAACGATCTTCATCTTGGTCTGCGACCTCAGCCATGGAATGACCTCGTTCCACTCCAAGCTAGCGTCGACGAGATGATCGTGGTTCTCTTCTTGGATCTTCCTGTGCTCCGCCATAGTCTTGGCGCGCAAGAGCAGCCCGGCTGTAGAAATTGCGCCCGACTTGCGCGACTCGACATTTGCCATTGCAACTCCAGGGGGAAGCTCCAGCGGCGTTCTACGTTCTTGCAAGCGGTTGCCCAAGATGACAGTGTCCACAGTCAGGACGAGGGCCTCGTAGCCCGCATTCTCGGCCCTCCTGATCAGCTTCGCAGTGAGGTCTCGGCTACCGAGGAAGTAAAGTTGGAACCAAGGGCGAGGGTAATCGGGGCCGCGTTGGGGAATTACTGCTGAGACATCCTCGAGAGACGTCGTGGCGTTGCTTGATAGCGTAAGGTTGGTCCCGAGGTTGAATGCGGCGCGGGCGACGTCAAGCTCGCCTTCTCCGCCGACTAGTTTTTGGTAGGCGCACGGTGCGATTGCGATCGGGATATCGTAACGTTTGCCGAAGATGGTGGTTGAGGTGTCGATGTCGCTCACGTTGCGGAGCATCTGAGGTCGGAGGAGGATGCTGCACGGCAATCAATGATTAGACTAATACTGTCAAGCTGCGGAAATGTACGGGGTGCGCCTCACTCATTGTAGGCCTCGTGGTTTCGCGCAAGTGTGTACTCATCATCAGCGCCGGTCACGTAGTAGTCCCATACTGGCTTGGCGAGCTTCTGTTGCGCGATCTTATGGACGTCGGCGATGTTCACCGGCTCCGGGATTGGCTCTTTGATAAGCGTCATCTTATCTAGACTGCTACTTCAGCTTGGTGGTGCTTGGTAGTTGAGGCCCAGTGTTTGGTGAGAAGCTATCGTCCTCAAAAAAAACAGGCAATTGAGAACCTTATCGGCGCGAGAAGACGGGTCATGGAGCTTTATTTACTTGACCGAGTGACGGTCCGATCTCGGGGCCACGATGGATCGCGTCACTCGGTGCATGCTCGGTATCCGCCCGGCGGTCTCGTGAACCGCTGCAAGTTACCCGATTCACTCGAGAGCGGATGAACTACCGTCAAACCGTGACCCGTCAAACCGTGACCCGTCAGACTGGATCGGTCCCAAACAGAAGGAAGCTTCGTTGCTTCAGCATTCGTGTTGGAGCTTTATTTAACGTCATACTTCCATAGCATTGGCGAATTAATCCTTGCCTGACATGGAGCTTTCCCTGCTAGAGCATTAGCTGCTTGTGGGGTTATTGGTCTGGTCGGGATTTTTTGCCTCTCCGGGAGTTTGGAGCTGAAAGTTCTGGGGAATGACTAAGATGACCCCCAACAATCCACAGATACCCCAGAGCTCTGGGTCACGTCCCCAACATGTCAAGCTCATGATCAAGGGGCACGTGGGGGCAGTATGAGGACGTCCTTCAGGAAGAGATCTTGCTTTTGAGTGAGTGTCCGTACGGATGTTTATAATATGAGTGAGGCTCTCTGCATGACAGTAGGCAAATTGCCCGGGGCGTGCTCCTCTAGATCGTGGGGAAACTAGCAACGGTGCTCACTCAACACCGCCGCCCGTGTCATCATGGGCTTGAATCTGCACATGTAGTATCCCACGGGCCAGTGTTCGAAACAAAGGTGACTTTCTAGATGCTCTCCTGATGTTATGATTAAAGTAATGGATTTTCTGTTGGCTCTGTCGACGAGTTTACAATTTGGAGCCATCAATTGCTCAGTCAGCCCCCGGGTAGTAGATACTTCGCATGCCTGCATCTCTAAAGGTAAGGTAGCATCCAAACTCAACAGGCCTAGAGAGATTTCCTCCGCACGGAGTCAGAAACTCAACGACTTACTAATGACGGCACATACTCCCAGGACGATCGAAAGATTCAATTCGCCTCGGTGAGAGTCGGTGAGACTCTCGGTCACAAGCTTCACGTCGAGGTGTTGTGTTACGACGTCTTCGCTGACCTGCATGCCTCTCGGTATGCCTCCAGTCTCCTTGTAGTGGAACCTCCGGGACCAATGATCCCCTACTCCAACACACCCGACAACGAGATTTCAAAGCATCTCACTCCGAGTCATTTGAATATCTTGAGCGTTCGCACGAAGTCCTTCGAGACAGGTATGTTGTGCAAGCCTCAAGTTCAAGCTCCACCAAGTGTTACAACACGTAGGAAAGCTCTCTGTTCCTCCGTGCCGGACAAGCTGCTGGTGTAAGCTGGCGCGCGGAAATAGGCTCTCGTCGCGTGGTAAGCGGCCCGAGTCGCGACTATTCCGGAACCGAATAAGCGCTAAACTCCAGAGAGTCTCCAGTGTCCAGTCCTTGTCGTCATGGAACACAGTGGAGAAGCATTTGTCAGCTCGAACCGCATTAGCAATCCGCTTCACATACCAACTGGCTTGACGACTACAACCTCTTGCAACATCTTGGGGTAACATAGCTGTAAATCTTATAAACTTGACATCGTAATCCAGACTAATTTCGCTTTGTTCCATCTGATTTCATCATCCAACCTCAGCTCATCTCATCACACCACAATGGCTGCAGCACGTCCCACCGGTCTCATCGCCAAGAAGGGCATTGAGCTATTGACCTTCGGTAAGTTATGCAATCAACTACACTTCGAGCCACTAAGCCTTTCTAAACACTTATACTTAGGCACTCCGAATGGCTACAAGGCCAGTATCATCTTGGAGGAGCTGAAGGAGGCTTATGGGCTTCCCTTCGTGGTCCAGAGCATCAACATCATGCAAAACATCCAGAAGGAGCCATGGTTCACATCGCTCAACCCCAATGGCCGCATCCCTGTGATCGTAGACCATGACAACGAACAGCTTGCTGTCTTCGAGGGCAGTGCTATTCTCAGCTATCTGACCCGCAAGTACGACACTGAGCACAAGTTCTCATTCGCCCTCTCGGACAATGACTACACCCGAGCTGAGTCTTGGATCGGCTGGCAGCACGGCGGACTGGGTCCCATGTAAGTTAAACTGTCCGAGGTTCACGGTTTTTTGATCAAAGTTACATGTACTAATTCCCTCCTCAGGCAAGGTCAAGCAAACCACTTTGTCAGATTTTCCAAGGAGAGAATCCCTTACCCCACACAGCGCTACGTCGGTGAGACGGAGAGACTGTTTGGCGTCTTGAACAAGCACCTCGACAAGCGGGACTTTGTCGTCGGCTCAGACCGTGGACGCTACAGCATCGCTGATATCTCAATGATTGGGTGGGTGCAAGGCGCTCCCATGGCCGGCGTGGATATCTACCAGTTCCCGAACGTCAAGGCTTGGTTGGATAGGTGCTATGAGAGACCTGCTGTCCAGCGCGGCATCCAGATACCCAGCTCTCCGTACATGTCCGTCGCCAGCATGGAACAGAGACTGAAGGAAGAGAAGGATCTTGTCGAGAGTGAAGCCGAGGTCAAGAAGCAGGTTGATGAGGCGAAGAAGGCGTACGGCTACGTCTACACGTCACCTTAGATAGGACTGAGGAACTTAGGTCGCCTTTGACCTCTGTAAGGTAGTGTCGGATAGGGCTTTTGTGCTAGGAAACAAATTGAAGCTTGAACTTTAGTTGAATGGAGGTTACTTTGGATGAAGGCAAAGCCCAGCTGTGCCCAATGTCAGCTGGTCTAGTGTAATCCTTGCTTCATAAATGTGTTCTCAATCTATAAGTGCCCTCCGCCATTCTATCATGCAAAGTCTTCAAGAGACCGTTGATCAATTCAAAGCCAAAGCCTCGGCGACCAAACACCTGGTTTATTCCGTCTCTTCTCGGACAGAGAGGTCAATCTCCTCGCGTCGACGAACCGAAATCTTGACATCGGAGTCCGATTCGCGGGTGAAACCAAACTCTGCAAACTTCGGCTTCTCGCCCTCGACCAACTTCATGTCATACTTCAGAAGCATATGAGCAAGTAGCACCTTGGCTTCATTTCCCGCAAAGAAGCGGCCCGGGCAAGAGTGCATGCCATGACCGAAACCCATATGGTTGACGCTGGTGCTGACAAACTGGCTGACTGCGTCGTTGGCGCCGCCGCGCTCACGGTAGAATCGGTAGCCTTCGAAGACGTGCGGGTTCTCGTAGACTTTGTCATCCCACATACGCTCGGCTGAGATGACGGTCGCGCTACCGCGGCTGATGATGGTCCCGTCGGAGAGCTGGACGTCTGCTGTGGCTCGGCGGGCCATTCCAACTTGAGATATCTGTGAACAGAGTTTCCTTGACACAGGGAGAACTCCAGAATAACTTACCAATCTGATTTGGCTTCAGCCGCTGACTCTCCTTGAGAACACTGTCCATGAGCTTCATGTTGTAGAGCGATGTCTTCTTCCACCCTCCCTCGCCAATGACTTGAATGACTTCTTCCCGAAGAGGTTGGACAAGCTCAGGGTGCTCGAAAACATCATAGAGCGTCTGGGTAACAAGGTCCTCCGTGGTGTGAATCGCCACACCAGCGAGGATCAGCTGAGAGACTGCCGGGTTGTACTTCTGCCCCTTGGCCATCTCCTCGAACCACGCAATAGCATCGTTGTACTCTTCAACGGACCCGGCTTCCTGCTGACGGTGCTTGATCTCCGCAAAGACTTGCGTATCTGCGTCTTTGATGTAGCCGCGCAGCTTCGTGGGTCCCGGGAGGAAGTACACCACGATGCTTCGGAGGAACTTAGGCCAGAAGCGGAGGTTCTGCATCGCGTGGACGCTGAGCTCGACGTACCCAACGATGGTGTTTAGCCATTTCTCGTTGCGTCCCAGCCGTTTTCCAACAAAGATTCGGGATGACATTCTGGATACAATCTTGAGGATTTCATGTTTGGCCACTGTGTCATGCCATTCTAGAGCAACTGTTAGCACGAGATCCAAGCCCCGGGTGTCAGCATCCAAGAAAAAAAGGTGTACCGGTCGAGTCAGTCAGTGTCCTGTAGACTCTCTTCAACTTCTTCCGAGAGGATGCTTGAGATCTTGCCTACGAAAGGTGGCAAATAGTTAGCATTGATCATGAAATTCAAATTGGCAGCTGTAAAATTAATGCTTAACCTACCAAGGGTCTTGGTCAGCCTCAGCTTGACCACGTTCTGAAGACGTTCGGAAGGGTGGCATGCTTCCTTGTAAGCCTCAAAGCCTGCATACTGTCCTTGGAAGTCCTATGCCATGCTTGTTAGTATAATCTTGCCCCTCAATCTACCAAGTTTTGCGTCATTATCCCATGAAGACCCACCTCAAATAGGCCTTGAACGAAGCTAAACCGCTTGTCATTCCGGATCTCCTGAACAACATCGGGTAGCAGGATAATGACATCTCCGACATCACACAATACACGGAAAGGCTTGCCGATGAAGTCTTTCGCGGATTGGTACAGCATCAGATAAGAGTTGAATACGAACTCCCGAACAACCCTGTCCGAAGACCACTCGAACCGTCCTTTCGGGTTGAGATAATACGGGAGCTTGCTGCCCTGGTCTCTAATTCAAAACAGGACGAGAACAAGAAGAGGTAGGCATGTTCCGATCACATAGTACCAAGGGGACTGGATGTGGGTGGCTTCTTGGCGGTCTGTAGCCGCGTTGATGAGGGATTCGTTGGAAAAGGCGGTATCCATATTGCTTGGTAAGAGATGGTTTGTTGTCTGGCGCTTGATTGGTGCAACTAAATTCAGACAAATCTGAGAGCCTCAATTCCAATGTGGCCGCACGACATATACCCATCATCATCATGGCGGACTGTCGGACTGGCGGCACTTCGGTGGGATGCACCAACCATCCGGACGTTAAACGTCCGCGAGTCCGCGATCCGTAGTTTTCGGACGAATTCATGTTCAGGCCGGCCTGCGTCCGCTCCGACCGAACACATTCTATCCCATCGGGTGCTAACTCACCTCATTTTGCCAAGACCTCCAAGTACTCACTATTTACACTTTATTACCCCGCATTTAAAGGGGTACTTGACGATACGTCACTCATTCCTATGCTCTTTTGCCCATTATCATCACTATTGTTACTATTTTGATTGATATTGTTATGTCTTCTGGTGATTCTGATACCTCTATTGCATCTAATGCTTCTATTACTTCTATACGCAGCTGTATAGTAGTTGAGGTCCACCCAGAAGACCTTACTGCTGCCTGTAATACAGACTGTACGCCCGAGCGCTGTGAAGCAGCTACAGTCCAGCCCCACGAACCTCCGGCTACTCAGCATGGTCCTCCGGGCTCCTTCCGGCCCTTTGACGTGCCGGCCCGGGCCCAAGAGATACGGGGGCTGCCGGCAAGCCCGCTTGAACTGTTCCTCCAATACGTTCCGCAGAGCCTCGTGGAGCAGTGGGCCCAGTGGACGAATACAGCGCCGTTGTCTAAGGAGGGCCCTAGGGCTAGAACGTCTAGAGCGAATTCATGGCGGCAGACTTCAGCAGACGAGATCTACCTCTTCCTAGGGATCCTATTATATAGGGATTCATAGGGAGTCTAGATTATCAACCTATTGGTCAACCCAGCAGCAAACGGAGGATCCTATCCACCTATTTACACGGTTTATGTCCCGGGACCGTTTCCAACTGCTACTCCAGCGACTACGGATATTCAACACTGCGGAATTCCAGCCCAGCCAGCCCAGCCGGCCCAGCCAGCCTAGCCGGGGCCGGGGCCGGGGCCAGGCCCGGGCCCAGGATCAAATGCCAGATGTATACCGTAAAGTTAACCAGTGGTCAGCCCACATCCAAGAGACTGGGGATTCCCTTTATATACCTGGTTCAGACCTTACAGTTGACGAGGCTATGGTCCGATTTACAGGTCGATCTCTTGAGACGACAACGATTCCAACGAAACCTATCCCAACTGGCTATAAGATCTGGATCCTTGCCCAGTCTGGCTACTGTATACGGTGGCTGTGGCACGTCCATGGAAAGGGCCCATACGCATTAGTCCCCCAGGCCCGGCCGGCTAGGCCAGCTGCTGGAAAGCTGGCTCTGTTGACACCAACGCAGCAGGTAGTAACTACGCTTATTTCACTACTTCCAGCTGCAACCTACCACGTATTTCTTGACAATCTCTTCGCCTCTGTACGTCTCTTTCGTACCCTACGGAATCAAGAGGTTGGAGCTTCTGGTACCTGCCGGAAGGATAGTGGGATAGATAAGATCTTAGTTATTGAGAAAGAGACTGAAGGACGGGGTATCCCCTGGGGGGGAATACACTGTATCCCGACTTTAGATGGGGAGGTAAGCTGCTAGCCCGCCCAGCCCTACCCTACCCAGCTAACTAGGAAATATGTCAACCAATTCACCTGGAAGGATAATGCCCTCGTACTCTTCCTGTCAACTGTCTTCCAGAATGGCCAGGAAGTTATTCGCAGCCGCCGCCGCCCAGCTGGGGATACCGCTGCTAAGAAGGCTGCCCGGCAAGTCTTTGGCCCAGACGTCCGTAAGGACCTTCCAGTTCCTAGGGCAATCGATGAGTACAATCACAAGATGAATGGGGTTGATGTGAGTGACCAGATGAGGTCCTATTATCAATACAACCACCCTATTCGCCGAGGGGACTGGCAGTCAATTGCCTGGAATTTCCTGCTAGAAGTGGTAGTTGTGAATAGCTTCCTACTACAGCTCTGGGGCAGCCCGAGTTGGAAGAAGGTAAAAACTCATCACCAATGGCGGAAGATGCTTGCAGCTCAGCTTATTCAACAGTTTGGACCATTGGCAGGCGGACGACGACTTTCACGACCTAGACGGGCTACAGACAAGAGGAATACCTCTATTCCATGGGAGCAGCATCGTAGGGGGTCAAGGGGGGTATGCTCGCCTTGCTCTTATTGTAGTAATAGGGGGTCATTAAGAGCCCGCCAGGCTCTAGGCGAGATATCTAGGAATAACCTCACGCAGCAAGTAAGAAAAACTCGGCAGGGCTGTTTAGACTGTAATGTACCTTTATGTATGAAGGGAGACTGCTGGTACCTCTGGCATACACAAAATATATAGAGAATAGAAGTACTGGAAATCCTGTTGAATCATTGGATAAGTCTAATAGGCTGGGAAGTTCCTATTGGCTCTACCCCACCTCTTGGCAAAATGAGGTGAGTTAGCACCCGATGGGATACGGCAACTCTCCAGATAAGACCAATCAGAAGGCTCGTTGACGGGCGTTCGGACAGTTGTTCATCGGAGGACGGCGCGTATCCCACCGGTCTCGATGTCGCAAGTCAGTTTGTCTCAAGTCTCAACTGCCAGCCAAGACGCGGCTCGTACCGATCTTGAACGTCGGCGCCAATCAATCTTTCTGCTTATGCAAAGCTCGTGGGGTTCATCTCTCTCTACCGGTGGGATGAATGAAACATGTTGAGAGAAGTTACGTCATGACCACAAGATCGACTCGGAATCAAGTCCCGTCAGGAAGTCTGGTTCCGACTTTTCAAACGAGAACAACTCGAATCTAGGTATAAAAAAAAGGGTTCGTAGCTTCAAGGAGAACTCTAGCTTTGTTCAAGGGTCCATGTCGATGCAAGGACTTTTTGTCCATGATCAAGAACTTTGACTTGTTCTTCTCAACGTTACTCATCAAGCAATGTCCGTCTTCTCATTAAGTTGCAGATGGCGTCTCATGCAAAGAGTCCGCATCATTATTGCAAAAGATTCTCGACCAGTGTGGAGAAAACATGCAAAAAAGAATCCTAGCGCCGAGTCGAACTCAAGGAGTCGAGGTCCATCTCAATAGAGATATTTGAAAACCCCCCGTCCCCAGCAGTGTTCCACACTAACTGCTGGGCCAAGGCGCCAGGGGTGCATCATGCGAGGCCCCGTTTGCTTAGTGACTGGGGAGGAGAAGTTTACCAAGAAGGCCATGGCTAATCCAAGACATATGGAGCTCATTGTATTGGGCCGGACGTAAAAATAAATCTTCTTTCAGTTGAAAAGATCCCTCCACATCTCCTTGAAGCCATAGTGAGGGGCTCTTGAATCGTATATCTTAGCCGATGTACCCTCCTTGCTAAATCGGTCAAAGACCGTGACTTGGCCGCCTCCTGCTGCATCGAACAACGTCTTTGTCGGCCTGGTGGCTCTCTCGCGAATAGTTTCCGCCACAAGTGGCGCGACATCGGCATAACAAGCCTTTAGCTCGCGCTCAAGCGAGTAATATGGCTTCTTCGCCAGTTCAGGCGCCATAAGGTTGTAGGAACGTGCGATCGCATTGAGGTTGTTGACGGCGAGGTTCATGTACGAGCTCTCAGCTACAAGCCAGTCTGAATCGCGGAAGGGTTGTACCGGTGGCCGGGCAGGCTTCGCTGCTGTTGCCTCTGGTCCGGATTCGCTAGTGCTGTTGCCCTCGACCACCTGTTGATGCACCTTCGCCAGGACAGGATCATCCGTCACATTGGTGGGCACCGAAAGACTGTCGCTGTTCCTCTTGCACAGATTATGGCGTTCCTCTGCACGGGCATAGTCCTCGGCCAATTGCATCTTCTCTTCCAAGCTTCCACCCTTTGACGAGATCATCCTGGCCACGTGCCTCCTCCAATCGTTGCGTAACCTCGCTCTAAACACGCCGGCGGTCTTTGCCAACTCTTGCTGCTTCTCTATCCATGGTGGCACAATCTCCTGCCTCTTGATCATCTTGTTCATTATGTACTCGGTGGTATCGATAAAGGGGTTGTCGGCTCTTGCGTCTCTTTCAACCCCCTTGCCGCGGGGGATGTTCTTGAATTGTCCACGAGCAATGGCGTCTTCGATTCTCTCGTTGGCTAGCGACTCAAGGCCTGCTATAGTATTCGGTACAGCTCTGGCTGCCGCCCCGAAGCGATCTCGAAGCTCCTTCCTGAAGTCTTCGCGTTCTTTGGCGCTCTGCCCGCTTTGCTCTTTGAACCCCAGTCCGGTATACGTCGAGGCCTTTTCGCGAGCGTTGGCAGCCCGCTGACTAGGGTTGATCTTTGGATCCTTTCGTATTCGCATGTCGACGGGCGGAATCTGGAACTGCCCCCTCAGCTCGGGCTTGAGTGGCTTCTTCGTATCGCTGAGCATTCGCAAGACCGCATCAGACTGCGACTCGTCGCCCGTCCAAGCCTGCGCAGTGGCCATTGAACGTGTTCCCTCTCCTGCTGACGCGGGCATTTCAGCTTCCGCGAAAGCGGATGCGTATTGGGAACGAAACTTGGCGGTTTCGACCTTGTCGAGAAGCCGCTGTTTCAGCTCTTCAGAGAACCCAGCATCTTCGATAGCTTGACGCCCGCGCCGGCCACCAGTCAAAAGAGCTTCCTCTGTAGCTTCCTCGAGCTTGCGCGACATGGCGCCCGTTTCCTTCTCTGGTGCGTTATCGCTTCCATCGGGTGTAGGAGCTTCGAAAGCCGCGGGGGATCGATCGGAGGTGTAGAGTCGACATCTCGCCGTGAGTGGTTCGATGCGCCAACCGGATGGTAGAAGGCCTCCGCAGGCCAGCGGTTTTCGTAGAAGTTTAGTCGCCATATTCAAAATCCCAGTCCTTGGTGGACGTCGGGGGAGAAAACATGGTTGAGAGGATCGAGCTATGGTCGTGAGAATGTCGAGAATTAGTCTTGCTTCGTGATATCAACGAAAGGAATAAAGTGGCAATTGACGGAGTTAAGCACGGGCCAGCCGAGAGCTCCACCTTTTATCGGAGCCCTATCGGAATTGACCCATATTTCGGTCGGTAGGACGATGCTGCTAGGCCGGCATGTTTTGGCGATCCGATCTTAATCTCAGAACAATGACCGAAGGCTGCTTTTTCCTGAGTTCGCAAAGAATCATGAAGCATTTTTAATCATTAAATTGACGTTTGATATGTTCATCGTACTTTTCCAAAGACCTTTAGACTCAAGAATCAATATTTAAACTGTAAAGTACACCAGCACCCTGTCCATCTCGGCGTTAAAGCTCTCATAGTAGTCCTGTCTCTTGTTCTCGAATGCATCAAACATGGGCTTAGCGGTTCCAACCGGGATCTGATCCTCTCCATTGACCCATCTCTGGTAGACCTCATTGGCGAATTCGTCCACCGGCATGCCAATAGCATGGCCGTTCTTCAAGTCGGGCTGATTCTTGGCATCATGCAGCTCCGTCTGCACCGCAGGCGGGTAAACTTCTACAATCTTGACCTTTGAAGACGCGTCCTTGAGCTGGGATCTGAGTGCGAGGATGAAGCCATGCATGGCAGCCTTGGAGCCGCTGTAGTTGGGCAGCGCTACCGCAAGTGCAATCAAAGCAAATTTAACCCCTAAACTTGCTGTTGATGACTTTTTTTCACGAGGGTTTGATTAATTAGCTTACTTATAAGTATAATGTGGGACTCTGGATACCTGAGGCAGTGGCTGGTGCCCCAGGCACCAGCTGCCTGATCCACCTCCTGGTTGATCCAGCCCACCGCAGCCACCTCCACCACAACATCACCAACAACCAACCGTCAATACCAGTCGTATTGCCTCATTGCTTGCCTCGTTGGTCCAGATGAGCAGTGTGTACTGCCCACATATAATAATTCAATTACTATATAAAACTACGTTATATATGAGGCTCATGATAATCCCAGTAGCCTGAAGTTATTTTAAAGTATTATTACCCCCCTCTTTAGCTAGTTTTTTGTTAGTTAGAGGATCTTTATAGTAGAGGGCACTATCGAGAGCCTTTACGATGTGAGGGTTAACTTGGTAGTACTGAACGCTCTCTTATAGTCCGCTGTTATCGCCGGTACGGCGAAGATGTCGATGGTAAGCCGAGAGAGCGCCGGGTAGGTTTCCGTATGGTCTATCTACCATCGTACGGGGTCGGACGTAGCCTCCGGAAGCTAACGGAGGTAGAGATCGAGCTTATCCGTCCGGGGCGGCGTCTGCCGGCGCCGGCTGTTAACCTATTACCGGAAGTGATAGTCTTCGTCCCGAGCCCCGGGGTCTACCGGAAGCATGCCGGCCTGGATGCCGGCCTACGGGCCGGCCGGAAGATCCTTGCCGGCGCTGGGTTGACGATATTATTTATCGAAGTAGTCTGTGAGAGACGACTGCGCCTTCTCGACGTATCTATTCTGGTGTTCCTTGTACTAGATATCTCATAGGTATAAGATACCATATAATGGATATAAAATTATCGTACTAGAAAGCAGTAGAGAGTCTCTTAACTTATTATAGTATATAAAGAGCTTCTACTACGCCTGTTCGATGCTGCTACGGAGGAAGACCTGCTACTTCTTGTCGAGAGAGTTAAATCGTGAGGTAGATCGTGAGGCTAGCGATGCCTAATCCTTATATATATACGTGTCGGAACGGCAAGGCTGATAAGGAGCAATGGGCAGGTATCGTGGGCTGACTGACGCCTGCCCTGGGCGAAGTGGGACAACCGGCTTAGTCATCACGGCCGGTTAAGGTGGGGCAACCACCCAGGCCGTCCCCACCTACTTCGATCGGCCCCTGCCCACAATGTAAATAGGAAGAAGAACAACAGCAATTATCACGGACATCGACGTGATTGTAAACAAAGATACACCCTCATGAGGAAATGTATCACGCCTGTGAACAATACGTTAGGAGGGCTTTAGCGTTATACTAACGACGACGTACCCGTTCTAACCGTCTCTAAGAGGCCTGCGACTGCTGGGGCTTATTATTATTATTATTATCGACTGCTATAAAGATCGAAGAGTTATAGAACGTCTTCTAGTCGACGAGATGCGAGAGAAGGTATTCAATATCTATCGAGACCTCCTAGAGTCGGCTATACCTATTGCCGACGCCCTAGCCCTCGTACCGCTTCATCTGGCGATAGAAGGTGTTACGGCCAGCTAGTCGTAGGGGTAGTTTGCAGAAGTTGAGGCTGCGGAACTGGTAACAGTAATCGTAGTCGGGGATAGCTTCAGGGAAGCTATGTCTGTCAATCGTAAGGGTAGGTAAGGCTTCGGTGATCAATCGTAGTCTTGTCAAGTAGTAGCTGAAAGCGGATGTTAATCCTGATACGAAGTTAATTGCTGAAGATCTATGGAAAGTCTGTCCTAGAGTCCCGCTCGAGTCCATCCTATATACTAGTCCTGGTCCTGAACATATCCCTTGTCAATGATCAGTTCCTCTGATCGGGTGAGCGCTCATTGTTTGGCATGAGCGCTCATGGCCCCACCATGGTCGCTCATGGCTTATCTTATTATTACGTGACTTGTACCATAGTTCTTCCGTTCCGTGAGAGGGTGCCTAGTGTCCCTTGTCTCCTGCATATGTGGTGTGTTGTAACCGCCGCGAGCCTGCGGGGCAGGCCCTGTTCTTGGTCATGCATGTTGGGTCGTAACATGGTTTATATAACTATATTAAGATATATAATTATAGTGAGGTTAGTAATAGTAGTATATTTCAATAGCTAGGTATACTACTCGATGAGGAAATAAATAGGGCGGTAGTAGATCTATAGCCTCTTACTAGCTAAATCTATAAATATCTGAATCAATTAAAGTATTCAAGTTAATCGAGGGGTGTGAATTTGCTGAATTAGGTATGGCGATGGCCTCCCCTTGCTTGGGTTGACTTGTATGCGTTGACAAATGATTGCACTTGCGGTAGCGCTGTAGTTGGGGCAACTCTTCATCGGGATGAGGCCGAGCTGGGAGGTTGTGTACAGCAAAGCGGTCTGTTTGTCTTGCTTCGAGAGATGAGGGAGGAAGGCTTTGGTCAAGTGGACGTGGGAGAGGTAGTCTGCGAGAAGCTCATCGTGAATGATGTCTAAGCTGACAATTTCAGGCTTAGTGAAGTCGATACCTCGCTAAACTCCGGCGTTCAAGAAGACGCAATCGAGGTCAGGGTGTTCCTTGATGATGGATGCAGCAAATTCCGGGATCTTTGGACATTTTGTTAGCCGCATCCTCCGTCATCAACAGCAAGAGTATCGACTTACCGACTCCAACCTGAGAATATCCACAACCGCTGCTGCTGCCTTGGTGTTGCCGTGCTTGGCGACGAACTGGTCGAGGTTCTCCTTTCTTCTCCCAGCAGCGATAACGAAAGTGCCATTCTCGACGAGTTTGTCCGCCAGGGCTGCACCGATTCCTGAGGTGGCTCCGACTAGCAAGACTTTCTGGTAGGGCAGAGACATGATGGCAGCGGGTGGTATATATACAAATTTGATATGTGAGATTTAATGTAATTGAGAACGATATGATTGATGGCTTGAATGATTCTTCTTCAGAAATGGCTTGGAACTTCAACACGAGAGCACTTTATATTCAACCATCCGACTCCTCTAGAAGCCAGGAATGTCTAAAAATCCCACGACATTTGTAAGCCCGCACTGGATTTATCAGCGCAAAACCTGTACAGAAACTGGAGAGTCGACTAAAACCCTGCGAAGAAGATTCTGGGCTGATCGTGGAGATGGATCGGTCCGCTTGTCGTGGTACGGACTGATCCGGTTCGCCTCCCGGCCCAACATCTCGACCAATGGGGAGTTTTACACTGCTTCAGCTCGCATTACCCCCACACCACGCTATAAATTTGAGTAGAGCGCCAACAACCACCAGTCTCACTAGAACGGAACAAGTACGTCATTTCGTTGTATTTTCCCTATCGTAACGAATGTAGTAAGTAATTCCACAATGCGCTTAGAGTTTACTCATATGCATTTCTCTATGGCATGCAAGTCTAGGCTCGACTTGCTGGATGCCGGCCTCAGTGCTCAACTTCTTATAGTGCTACATTAACGACCGGCTCGAGCAACGACATGAGTGCCACCTCTGGGTCGTGGCATGCTTCATATAGTTACGTCCTTAGAACACCGAGTGTCGAGTGAGCTCCTAAGATCAGGCAACGCATAATCACATCCAAGGAAAGCTTTCGATGGACTTAACTTCGTCTCTGCCAAACCCTGTGCTCAGTTGTTCAATCGCATAATATTACGCCAACTGAGAACTCATAGCCTCATCCTAGGTTACTGGTAGAATCATTCATTCACGCTAAAGAATATTTAGATGTAACTTTCAAGCTTAGCTGGTGTCTAGTTCTATGCGCATTCTAGTCACGTTTCGGAACTGTTCTGTGCTGGCTGTTTTGATGGCGCAATTTTTATGAGTCCATTCGACCCTCTCAAACCTCACTTCTTGTTGTACCATTTCATACAATGGCCGAAAACTCATAACTTATTCTTGATTGAGATGTACAAGACTTCCGCTGTTGCAAGCACTTCGCCATTCTCGTCCTCTAATTGCGCCGCAACGAAGTGCTTCCGGCCCTCAACCCTGGCTATCCTTGATCTCACTAGCACAGTTCCTGGCGCAGGAACAGGTTTCCGAAATGACGTGTTTAGGTAACCCGTCCTGAAGTCTTTGTTGGGCTCTGCTCCTGTCGGTCTTTGTGCTACAATGTGTATACCCGTAACTTCGTCCATCACCAATGCAACAACGCCTCCGTGAGCCGTCTCAGGAAATCCAATCATGCCATGGTCGAAGGTGATGAGAGAACACAATTCATCGACCTTCCAATCGGGGCTCTGCGGCTTGGGGTATATGATCAACCAAGCTTTGATGGTGTCTGGTGTGTTGAGAGTTCCGCCGACGTATGTGTTCTCTCTTGTTGGGAGGACTGTTCTGTTTTGAGAGACTTGCACTACGTGGGACGGAGTGTCGGATTGGCTGAGCAGTCTGGCACACCATGGGATGGATGCGAAGTGCTTGTAATCAGGATGTGACTTGACGTCGTTGTCAGTCATGGCAGGCGAGTTGACAACTGGGGCAACAGGCTGAGTGCGATAGGTTGATGGCTGAATTGCAACTTTGCAAGTGACAAGTCAGTGAGGGGTCCTGTCCCAGGACCTCGGGTTCGGACTGTTGCGGTGGGTCTCGCGAGACATCCGAGGTAGTGTAACTTGAGGGGAAACTAGCGCAGGGGTTTGGAAGACCCTGTCGAGTCCTTGCAGCTAAGCTGAATGCAAGTTGAGGCTTGTCTAAGAACTAGCTCTTTAGGTGTGCCACCAGTGAGCAATTTTTCTGCACTTCATCAACAAGCATTTGTCGAAATATCGGACGACACGTGGACGTCTCGGCTTTAGTCTCATTCTCGAACACTTCGTATCATGGTCCGAATAGCGGTTTGAGCGCTCATGACTCGCAATGAACCTTCGCGGATCGCGGAAGCAGAAGTGTATGCAGAAGTTCCCATTCTAGACAACTACGCCAGTCATACAGATCATGCAAAAAGACGGTTCAGGGCTACAGAAACTGTGTTTAAGCTTGTTATAATCTGATTTCCAGGCCATCGAAAGTTTCCTAGAGTTTCGCGCCTCGATCGGAAGCTCGCTTGTGCTCCTCGCGCCACGCGAGGTCACTCAGAATCTCCTCGCTACCACCGCCGATGACTTTCAATCGGAGGTCCCGAGAGATCTGCTCCGTCATGGTCACACCCTTCTCGTAGCCCATACCGCCGTGAATCTGCTGGCTCTCCCTGACGGCTTGCTCTACGATCCTACCGCCTTGGACTTTTGCCAGCGCAATTCTGCTTGCGACGTCCTTAGTCTGCCAGCCGTGAATGTGGACGTGGTAGGCAATCTGCTCCAACCATGCCCAGTGGCCCTCGATCTCGCGGGCAAGCGTCGTAAGCTTATGCCGGATGATTTGGTTCGAGGCGAGAGGTTTTCCAAATGTCTCCCTATCATGTGCGTGCTGCAATGCCTCTGAAAGGCATATTCGGGCTTGTCTGTTGCAGTCCACTGTGAGGATGAAGCGCTCCTTGTTGAAATTGCGCATGATAATGGGGAATGCCCCGTTCTCTTTACCCAGCAGGTGGTCCGCCGGGACCTTGACGTCCTCCAACACGACCCACGATGAACCACCGGCGTTGTGCCCGGAATTGTGGATCTTCCTGATCGTGACGCCGGGGGACTTGAGAGGCACGACCAACAGCGAGATACCGCTCCGCCCTGGCTCTCCCATACGGACAGCGGTGGTCATATGGGTTGCCCAGGGCGCACCCGTAACCCACTTCTTCCGGCCGTTGACGACGTAGTGCCTGCCATCGGGGGTCTTTTCCGCAGTGGCCCGAATGGCGCTCACATCACTACCGGCAGTCGGCTCCGTGATGGCAAGACAGAAGCTGGTCTCCCAGGTAAAAAGTCCGGGAAGCCATCGCCTCTTCTGCTCGTCGGTACCCGCAGCAAAAATGGGCGGCGCGCCCACGTTCGACGCCCCCGCTAGAGCGAGGGGAACCCCACTGGGGATGCGGGCCATCTCGTCCATGAGAATCAGCTCGTGGAAGACATCAAGCTTACTGAATGAGATACCCACGATAGCCATGAGCTCCTTGGGTCGGTACTCCTTTGGGACATCGAGAAAAGCAAGACCGGACTTGGCGAACTTCAATCTTGCTGATAGAGGGGCTCTCCCGGCTGCCTCCCATTCTTGCGCGTATGGAAGCAAGTGGGTGTCGACAAAGTCTCGTACGTATGTCTGGAACCGCCGGTGAGAGTCATTGTAGTAGGGACTCTCGAGGGCATGGAACCACGCCGGTTCGCCCCACCTAAAGCCCGTGTTAGATGGCAACTCAGACGGAGGAGGAGAAGGAAGGGATCGGGGTAGTACGGAGCGAGGACGCCTGTCGCCTTGTGTTCGTTCCCGGGGCCGGCCTGCCTTGACCTATTGGCGTCTAGCTCGGGCATATTGCGATTCCGTTGCCAGTGTTGTTACGTATTCGATGGGTGGAGATTATCGCTGGTAATTGGAGATCCGTGTGCGAGGGACATGAGTCTCGTAATCGAACTGGAGCTGGTCCTTGAGAGCATTGGAGATCCAGTGCCAGTTTTGATGAAGTAGCAGGCGACAGATATCGCGCGGGGAACCTCATGTTCCAACCAAAGCATTGCTACGCTATAAACTTTGCGTTTGCACGGAAGCACTTTCAAGTGAAGTCTGTATCAGACGTGACTAGTTCAATGCGATGCGCTCAAGTTGGCGCGAGTCAAGAGAGCAAAGACCAACGGTGATTACTCAATCTGGCCGGCTCCGCCTGGGCTCCGCTTTAGCTCAAGAGGTGTTGGCCAGTTCATCTGGGGGAGAGAACATGGGGCATCGGTCTAGGCCTCCGAGAGACAACCCACGGGGTCCTTACAAAGTCCGAGGACCTGGATCCAGCTCCGCATCAGGCGTCTATCAGCCCCAATCAAGAGAGCTTGCCTAACGTGATTTACGACCAGTGCATCGTAGCGAGAATGAAAGCTTGTTTTATTGACAATCCCAGTTATCCGGTTGTGGAGAGCCAGTGACTCGTTTAGGTAATTCGTGTTCTTTGAGTTCCTTTCACGACATGGGGAAATCCTACAACTTCTTTTAGACTTCAGTGCAACAACGTACTCTACACCACTTCACAAGTCGTATGATTCTATCAAATGACTAAACAGGCAGCTACACAGTGGTCGACCGAAGATCCTGTACCTCGACAATTTTTCCGCTTCTTGGGTTGACGGCAAGTTCCTGCATGGTGATAAACTTAATCCGTAACGGGTTGATAAAGTCCTTCTCGACGTGTTCCCGAAACATGGGCCGCATCACGCCTAGCTCCTCTCTTAGCTCCGCCTGCAGCTGCGAACTCTCCTCATCCGTAGCTGGTGTGAAGGCGACGTTCAGGGTCAAGAGGTCTTTTCTATCTTCTCTTGTGACAATGGCTTGTAAGCGACCGACTGGTCGGTCTCCAAGGATCGTGGACACTATCCGTCTGAGGTCCACAAAGTCAACAGAAACGGGGCCGAGGCGGATGGCCGTGCGGTCCCTGTCGAGAACACGGAAAAGGCCTAGAGCTGGGTCAACCCACGCGGCCCGGTCTCCAGACGGGTAGCGAACGATGGGCATTAGTTGGCGCTCCAGGTTCGTTACGACTAGGCTGCCCGCCTCTCCTGGGGTGGTTGTGACCTCGCCGTCTTCAGTGACGATCTCCACGATGATATTCGGATCGTTGACTTGGTGAAGTCTGGGGTCGTTTGTGTAGTGCTCTTCCTTTGGTGGTAAACCGATGATTCCGCAGTCCATAGATCCGTAGACGACTGATCTGATAGTTGCATTTGGAAAGGCTGCTTTCAGCAGCCCAGCCTGATCATCGTAGAAAGCTTCTCCCGAGAACAGTAGTAGGCGAACGTACGGGTGTGTCTTGCCACTGCTAAGGATGCGCTCTGAGAGTTGCGACATCGTGGTCACCGTAGCGAGGACAACGGTTGCTTCAAACTCGACGATCTGTCTTTCCATGGATTCCAAGGAAACATGCCCAGCTACTGGAAGCTGGATCGCACCGCTTGGCAGATGGTAGACGGAGAGGATATGCAACAAGAAGCTCCCGTAGAGGTCGCCGGCATAGAACAGGTTGGCGACCATGTCTCCCTCGCCGACACCACAACGTCCCAAGCTCTCTGCCAGCTGTGTTGAAAGGCCATGGAGTTCCTTCTGGTTGTAAAACGATACTTTAGGGTGTGTAGTTGTGCCTGGATGAAGATTAGTGTGCGTTTACTTGAACCAAGCCAAGTCAGATCGCTGATGAGGATAAGTTACCTCCAGTTTTGAAAACAATGCCATCTTTTTGCTTTGATGTTACAACTTTGCTGTTCTGGCAGGTGTTTGATGCCCAGAAAGACTCATGGTCTACAATGGGCAAGTCCCTTAGAGACACCGGCGCATCTTCAAGAGTAAGAGTCTTACATAACTTCCAGGACTGAGCATAATAAGGAGAATTCAGTTTTACGAACTTGATGAAGTCTGTGAGGTTTCTAGACTTGCTCCTATTATCTTTTGGTGCCGTCATGTTGTTGAAGTAGTCAGTGCATCTGGAATCTGGAGTGGTGCGAGTTCAACCCCAACCCCAACTACGAGCTTCAAATATGTACTCAAAGGCAACGCGTGGACCGCAGTCATGCTACGACCACAATCAAGTGCAATCCCATGCTTGCAACGTGGCCATGAACCTCACTGTCAGTCTCTCAAGCGGATAACGGCACAGTCAACCTGTCAGTTCTGCTTACTTCCTAGACCCTCGCCGTCGGAGCTCCCTCTTGCGTAATTTACAAGTCCTGCGATGTATGGGTGCAGCGAATAAAGTTTAGACTTGCAGGGAGTTGCGACGGCTCTGATTGAGGTAAGAGTTGCCAAACTGACATTGGGAACTTAGAGCAACAGCAACGAAAGGGAAAGGGTTGCCCCGGAATCTCGATCCTCGTAACCTCTGTTCATTTCTAGAATCCACAACGAAGCCAATTGAGCTTTTGACTGCTTCCATCCAACGGTGCGAAATCTCGCAATCTGGACAGGACGTGCGCCGAGGCTCCCGCTAACCCTAACCTTGCGCTCAGGCCCAGCTTCGCCAGATTGACAAAGATACCAGATGGTGGCTGGCAATGCGAGAAATCGAAGATGGCTCAGCCACGGAACCGGTCAAACTCATTCGGGAAGCTCAAAAGGGGGCACATTGGCACATGTCAAAGGTCAAAGGGAAATGAATGACTTGTGCATCCCTTTCTCCCGCAATCCTCGCCCCCTCTTCCCGTAAAGCCCCGAGTGGGACGCGACGTTACCGCACGGTCCCATGTTTTGAACAGCTTGGGGGCGGTCTCTGAGTCTGGGCAATGAGGGGGGAGGGATTGGAGAATATGGAGAGGTTCCCGAAGCCCAAGACACAGCCGTTTGGCCAATGGAGTTTGTCTAAATGCCACTCTGTCAACAAATGGAGTTTCCAGGGTCCTGTTTGGTGCTACCACCGTCTTTCTCTGCCTTGGAACTCCACGTTAAACGAGATTAAGCTCAAACACACTGTGGGTGTCATTTCCCACCCCGAAGCAGAGAGCAAGGGGTGCAAAAGTGTTGGGGTTGAGAACCTTTGTGTGGGCTTTTTCCAAGACTTCTGTTATCCGCACGTGGAACCGGACCCTTGGAAATCTTCCATGACTAGGCCAGATTGCGTTTAGCTCCGTTTAAGCGACGAAGCCTCTTCTTGAATGTGCTAGGATCTTGCAGCAGATTAGATCCGCGTTTCTCAACACCTGCCTCCCGAATCCCCAGATACGCGTTCACCGCCCGGAACTGCTGGCTGCCTCTTTGATTGTTTCACCTTATGGTGCCGAGGAAGGTCTGCTAGAACTGGAACTTCGGCCACGAGGGCGAGGCCACGTTTGTGAAGGGGAGACACCGAGACATTCTTCATCAGTACCGGCTTTTCTTGCTTTGTGTCCGACTTGTGGCTGTAATCATCGAGTCATGGAATATGCTGCGGAATACGCCCAGTCCGAGGCTCTGCGATGCTTTGGGGCAAGCCACAAGGTTAGACCCAGTGGCGAGTCACGTCTCAAGGCGGTCTCGAGCAATTCCAAACACTCGACCTTTGGCAACGGTAATGAAATTTTCTGCCGCCGAGTCTGTTCCCCCCAATGCATGTGGGCAAGGCAACTTGGCAAGGGAAGGGGGGGAAACCGAAGAAAAGAAAAAAAAAGCAGCACAGTCCAGACTGTTTGGACCCCTATTCCATGGATCGTCTCTCACCGTGGGTAACGGCCCACCTTTAATGCCGCCGCTCCTAAAAAAAAAAGGGACAAGGAGACACGTCTCTTTCGTTGGCGGTCTGCTATCCGTACCCGTGTCCCTTGTGAAGTCTGGCTGGAAACCTTTTTGTCTTTTCCCTAACCTCGGGCACCTGAGAAAATTTCACCCTTTTCCCCAGTCCTCTTAGCTTCAGCTTCTCTCTGGTTCCTTCCTTTACTCATCCATAATACGGTGCGGCCCTTGAGAGCGTATCGTTCTTTCCCTTTCGTTCATCTCATATTATATTATATCCATTGAGCAATAGAAAGGTGATCCCAAACAAACCTGGTTTGCACCTTATCTCACACAATGGCGACCCAACGTACCTCGACTACCGTGGTGGTCGAGAAGCCCCAGGTTAGTCGGCAAACACCTTCCGATGCGCCGCCATCGATCTCGATGACCGTTCATTGATCACTGACCCTCCTCACAGAAGACCAACGAGCCTGTCTTCCCTGATATTCAGACCATCAGAGATGCCATCCCGGCTCACTGCTTCGAGCCTTCGCTCGTGACATCCTACTACTATGTCGTCCGCGACCTTACCATGGTCGCTGGCCTCGTCTGGGCTGCTCTCACCTACATTCCCGGCATCCAGGACCCCATCCTGCGCGCCACCGCCTGGATGGTCTACGGCTTCGTCCAGGGTCTCATCTGCACTGGTGTCTGGATTCTCGGTCATGAGTGCGGCCACGGTGCCTTCTCCAAGAGCGACAAGGTGAACAACATCACCGGCTGGGCCCTTCACTCCTTCCTTCTCGTCCCCTACTTCTCATGGAAGTTCTCTCACCACCGCCACCACCGCTTCACCGGCCACATGAAGAAAGACATGGCCTTCGTTCCTGCCACCGCGCCCAAGCCTTCCAAGAAGCCCTTGTTCGGCAGCATCGACCTCCACGAGCTCTTCGAGGACACTCCTATTGCCCAGGCCATTAGCCTGCTTACCCACCAGCTCTTCGGATGGCAGGCATACCTCTTCTTCAATGCCACCTCTGGCAAGGGTAGCTTGCAGCACGAGGTCAACGGTCTCGGACGTTGGTTCGGCGTCAGCCACTTCGGCCCCACCAGTGCCGTCTTCCGTCCCAATGAGGCCATCTTCATTGCCATCTCTGATCTTGGCCTGGCCATCACCTTCTCCGCCCTGTACTATGCTTCCACCATTCTCGACGTCTCCACCGTCGCTCTCCTCTACGCGGTTCCCTACTTCTGGGTCCACCACTGGCTCGGTACGCACCTCCTCCCCCCTCACTTTGTGATCCTTGAAGCTTGGCCTTAGAGTTTCACAAGCAAATGTGTTTATCATAGTGCTAATCAACCCTCAGTTGCCATCACCTACCTCCACCACAACCACCCTGAGGTCCACCACTACACCGAGGAGGGTTGGACTTTCGTCAAGGGTGCCATTGCCACCGTTGACCGTGAGTTCGGCTTCATCGGCAAGCACCTCTTCCACGGCATCATTGAGAAGCACGTCGTTCACCACCTGTTCCCGTAAGTTTGATCCCTCATTTTGAAGAATCACCTGAGCTAGTGCTAACAGACCTTAGTCGCATTCCTTTCTACAAGGCTGACGAGGCCACTGAGGCCATCAAGCCTGTCCTTGGTGACCTGTACAACCACGACGGCCGCAGCTTCCTGGGCCAGCTCTGGTCCGTTTTCGGCTCTCTCAAGTACGTTGAGAACGACCCCAACTGCCCCGGCGCCATGAGATGGGCCAAATAGAGGGGGGTTGCTGTACAAACATCAAGACGGGTTTCTTTAGACGGACATAAAGAGACATAGAGGACATAGACATTTTTAGACTCAAAGACCGCAGAGTCAAAGCTTGATAGAGCAGAAGCGCGTATGGAGTTTAGAGGCAGGGGGGGAATAGACCAAAAGTTCTAGACCAAATGGCAGGGTCAAGGCTCAGAACTCTTTTGAAACTACAACTCCACCGTGAATAAGGCACAGTCCTGTCATTCTCATAAAGCGGAAAGTATTCATATTTAAGGTTCTCGTGATGACAAGCGACCGGCGTTAAAGTTACAGAGCCGATGATAGGCGACCTTGCCAAATAGTTTCCTGAATAGGAAAAGAGGTACCTCGAGATAGCTGAAAATGAGTAATGTAGAATTGCACTTGAACAGAGTTCACACCAAGCACATCAGATTTGGGGATCGAGTGCAACCCATCTCCATGTTCCCGCTCGACTTGCATGACACGCGATTCCCAGCCAAGGGGTAGCCCAGGCAATGTGGTGTGTCCCATTCTGGACCATCCAATTCGCGCTTGCGTCGTCTCTTGGATCAAATGCCACGTTGGTGAACTTGCTTGTTCCCAGACGGAAAAGAATGCGCAGTAAACCCAACTCCCTGGGCTCCCATCGTCCGAGCTAATCTAACAGAGTTTACACATGTTGAAACAGTGCGCGCAGCATATTCACGACAGCCTCGCAGGCTGGTGATGGCTACATATCCATTTGAACTGAATCGTGTAATTCATATGTGCTTTGCTGTTGCGCAAACCCAGCCACGCACCGTAGGCTCCGGTCTGGGTTGGCTCGCGCAACTATCTAGCAGGAAGCACCGGGGCGAGCGGGGGGTTCTAGATTACGAAATAGCCCTTGCAGACTTGTGTGTGTTCGTCCTATATCATCCCGAGGAGATGGCTCCGGGTCTCATGTCAAAGAAGATGATCGTCCACTTCCTGCAAAAGACATTGCTGTCCAACTATTCTCTCGCTGTCTTCAAACTGCCATCTCATCAATCATCAGCCATTCGAATTATTGACAAAGCACTGCTAGCATCTTGCCCTGATTAGGACGATCAACAAAGGCAACACTATGGCGTCGGCTTACATACTCACCGTCTACTTCCTAGTAGTGGTCTTCGCCGGTCTTCAACTCAAACAGAAGATCAAGGCTCTCAAGTCTCCTCTGAGGAAACTCCCTGGGCCATGGTATGCCCCTCTCACAACATTACATCTTCGTTACCTCTTCTCGACCGGCACCATCTGGAAGTTGGTAGAGAGAAGTCACAATAAGTATGGATCGATTGTCCGACTCGGTCCCCGACAGATATGGATCTCCGACAAGGAGGCCATGAAGCAGATCTTGGTCAAGACGGATCTTCCAAAGGTCGCCATGTATGCCGAAATTTCCAGAGACAAGTTCAGCCCTGGGCTTTTTGGTGAGATGTAAGTCGTTCTGATTTTCTGCCCACAATATGCATTTGCGACGTGAGCCTAACTCAACGTTTCTGGAAACAGTCGCCAAGAGCCGCACAGGCGCCTCAAACGCTTCTTGTCTCCAGCGTTTACGGTCAACTACATCGACAACCTTGAGATGTTCTTTAAGAGCACCGTTCGTGATGTGCTCAACAAGTACCAGTCACAGATCAACGAAGACCTGGTCTACCATGCCAAGAAGGGCATTGAGGTCGACCTGATGGATGACCTTCACAACGTAGCCCTCGACATGTAAGCCAATAACTCTGCAGATGCCTCGAAGTCTTCAGGGCGCCTTCTTACTTGTATTACAGCATGGGAGAATGTTCATTCGGAAAGGGGTTCGGACAAACCAACCCTGACAGCTTAATCGAAGATGGAGTCGACGAGAAGATCTGGAAATCCATTCCTCGCTCTATCTTTGATGGCCTCAGCAAGCGGTACCAGGCAAGTTCATTCATCGCAAGGGAAATAATACCCCTTCCTCTAGTACTAACATTACAAAAGACCGTCTACGTCAAGAAGTTCTTTCGCGCACTGGGAATCGACCTGCAATTCGACTGGCCTGCCGAGATGATCACAGCCATCGACGCTGTCGTCCAGCGACGAAAGCGCACCTCTGATTTCGAGCGCCGAGACCTCCTCCAGCACCTCATTGAAGAAGGCAAAAAGCCGGACACCGGCACTAGCATGTCTGCCCGCGACATCGTCGACCAAATGGCTGAGATCCTCCTTGCCGGTTCCGAGACAACATCCGGCACCATCGGCTGCCTCTTCCTCGAACTCGCCCGCAACCCCGACGTCCGCGCAAAGCTCTTTGCCTCTCTCCCATCCAAGGGCTTCAATGACGAAATTGTCACCAGCAAATCGGTCCGTAACGAGGAGGAATACGAGTATCTTGAGGCCTGCATCAAGGAAAACCTACGCCTGCACCCCATTGCGTCGGAGATGGGCCGCCGTACTGGCAACCAGTGGATCAATCTCTGTGGTTACGACCTGCCCCCTCATACCGTAGTCTCAGCCTCCTACCGCGATCTTCACCGCAAAGAGGATTTCTGGCCCCAGGCAGAACGGTTTTGGCCCGAGAGGTGGCTGTCTGACGACAAGAGAGACGGAGCTCCTGCACCTGAGTAAGTCCCACTGCTCCCTGACCGATGAAACGTATTGTGTACAAGATCTAACAGGGTCTCTAGTCTGGATGCGTACTACCCCTTTTCTGGAGGCAAGCACTCTTGCATCGGAATCAAGTAAGTCATTATCTAGAGATTCCCCATATTGCACCAACGATCGTTCTAATATAATCAATAAAGCTTTGCATGGGCAGAGATGAGGATGGTCGCCGCCAACCTTCTACAAAGATTCGATGTGCTCGAAGTTCCGGGCCAAGACATCGACTTCCGCCAGTATATCACCATGCAGTTTGCAACTGGTCACTGGAAGGTTATGCTCAAGCCGAGAAACTAAGCCCAACGGCCACTATACTCTTACGACGAAACGTTCACAAAGCAAGACTTTTAGCATTTAGACTGGAAAGCATTCAACAGTTTGTCTCTCTGAGATGGAGTTGTGGGGTTGAGATTTACGTTCAAGCGATTGGACTTTGGAACAAGCGAATCCAATGCATCGATCCACGAGGAAGCTGTGATCTAGATACAAGCGAGACTGAATAAGATTGTGTGATTGCATTGAAGACGCGCAAGAACTGGAGAAACGAGTTGTCAACTCGTCTACATCTCGCAGAATTTGGCTAAACCCCCTCATTGAGTCCATGTCCTTAGGAGCGGTTATCACGGCTAACATGAAGAGACTTTGCCTGAGATACTGCAACAGTCAACACTCCCACCGGATATTTTGCATTCAGCAGCTTGGAGGGACTAGAACAGGAAGAACTTGCCAAACACCCCAGTCCCAGCAATGACCACCAGCTTGACGACGTGAGGGGGCTTCTGGGACACTAGGTACGTGGCGGGAAGGCTCCGCTCAGAAGACAACAACCATGTTCCTTACTGCAACAAAATGCATGTGAAAAGCTTATTAAGTGCGGGCGGTTTATCTGCCCTTGTTAAACCACCATCATGGGTCTGTTGCGTGCCAGACCGACGGACCGACGTCTCAGTAGCATGGACCTGGTTGATTCGGCGTGGAGCAAGCAAATGGCACCAGAAAGCTTAATTCGTGGCTACAGTGGGGTAGTTAACACGAGACATATTGATCGAGCCAAACGTCGCGCGGGGGGTAGGGGCTGGAGAGGGTGGTTGTCGGATCAGTCCGCTCAACTCATATCTTCTGGGCACAGGGTTTCCGAAGGACTCAGAAGTTGGGAGGGGCTTCGGCATCGAAATTGGGCCCGACGAGACAATTTTCCCGGCCGGGATCGAGACAAGATAGCTGTACGTTGGGATCCTAGTTTATCTCAGTTGATCGATAGTGATCGAGTCATTTGCTTTCACAGCCCGCTTGGGTTACAACGAAACCGCCACGGCGAAGGAATCTTGGTAAGAGCCGAAGACAGAACTACAGGAAAGGAGAAGCAAAACCGACACAATGATCCATCCGCTAAATGAACCTCGAATTAAACGTTCGCCTTGTTTACTAACTTCAGCCGGTTAATCGAGTTTGTGTGTGTTGAAGGCGGAATAGTTGTCAATGATGCAGCCCCAAACCATAGAATGAGTACACTAAACCTACCAGCTCAGTCCAGAGAATCTAAGTCTTCTATTTCAACGGCAAGTGGGTGACAAAATAGACACATGCAAGCTACCGCTTAAAGTGTCCCGAGTGTATTCTTCTACTTAAATTACTACCACTGACGCCGCTCTTTTTAGCAAGTTCTTTCCGTGTATTCTACCAAGAGAATAATCACTTTGAAAAGCTAGATTAGACAATCATAAAGGTAGCAGCACTAAGGTAGGAGGTCGGTCATATCTTGACCGGTAGAATCTTGTGTTACCTGCGTGGATAAGTTCTTCTTGGGTTTCAGAACACAGATGGAAGCCATAGGAAAACGACACCAGATCACATTCTCAAGACATGCTACGCTGATCCTGAGTATGGGCATCAGCAAAACAGATTTTCGCTGACCGCAACCTCATTCACATCACATTGGAATCTGATACGAGGAAGTCCTTGCTACATCCCACCTCTGGCTGTTCGAAGACGATGATACACCAGACTGGTACGGACACTGCGAAATCGACTGGAGAGAGCCCGTAAATTTCTCAATTTGCTCATTGGTAGTGCACCAACATCAGTTTAAAACGTTCTATTCAATATGGACTATGAGGACATCTCCCTTCACCCTTGACTTAAGCTAGCGAACACTCCACCATGGTAGTGATTGTGCGGAAATGGAAGAAGCGACTAATTCTCAAACCGGCCTTTTCAAGAATGGACTCGAGCTCTGGCACTGATCTCTCCTTCCCGCAAAAGAAGAATAAAGTATCCCATGTCATCAGGTTGGCAAGGTCCGAAAGCCTTGACTGGTGGGTAGGTGTTAGGGTAGATGGGGCCGCATTCTGATTGCTGACATTGAACGGGCTGGAGTTCCAAATCTCGTTGATCACCTTCCGTGAGTCTGGAGTCTTTCTCATGAAGTTCGCAACTTTGGTCAGTATCTTGATAGCGTCTTCATCATCGTATTCGCGTCTGTCAATTGTCAGTATGCTGTAGCGAGGCGGCTTATAGGAATTTTAGAACTGCATGTACTCACAAAACTCCTCTGAGGTACCATATGTCACCCTCTGCTGCGTTGTCTTTGAAGTAGTCCTGTACAACACAGTTGACTTTCCCGTCGGCAGCTCTTTGAGCAATATCCTCCGGCAGATTCTGGTTGAGATGTCAGTATCAGCTTCCAATAAATTCTATGCCACGAGCAGCTCACGGTCTTCAAGCTCTCAATGGCGGGTTGAAGGTCCTGAAAGGTCCAATGAAGCTCCGGGTTATGCCTCATGATGTCAAAACTGCTGTCACCTGGACCGCACCCAACATCAACAACTCGGGCTCTGGGGCTCTCATGCCAAGGATAGTGATTGAGGAGCGCTGGTCTAGTCGTTCGCTATAACGGACGTATCGATAAGCTAAAGTCAGGTGTCATGACGCGTTTCTTAAGATACACCTACATTGAGCCATGGCAGAACACCCTTGATCACCTTGAGCGCAACCCCGGAGTTCTCGGGATGACCAATGTACTCGAAGAATGTTTCTCCATTCTGTGCCACTGTAGAACAGAAAGGAGCATCTGTGGCCAGATAAGAGTCTTTGGTCTTGGTGTCTGTCATATGGGATAGTAGTCCTGCAGAGCTCCTAAGACCCTCGTCCGATCTTCGCTTGTTAGAATAAGGTAGGGACAAGAACACTCAGAACCGAAATTGGAGCTTACAAGAGAGATAAGAATTGAGCAGCACTGCCCTCCTTTCCGAGGTTCTTACTATGTCGAGTATTGCTGAAAACGTTTGGCTGCTTTTTTTGGTAGATGTACTCAGCTGCCAGTGTTCTCATGACTCTCCCTGAGATAATGGTCAATGGACTAAAGACATTGAGGGCGGCGCAGGAAAGGATGCCTACTTACCTGATTTTTGCTCATTGACGTTCAGTCGACTGGCTAAACCCGCCAGCTTCGCATCGCCTCCGAGATCTGTAATTGCATCTGTGATACCAAGGGACACTGCGACATTGAGTGCACTCTTCCGCGCCGGTTGCAGGCCCATCTCAAGCAGCTTGATGTGGTTGGGTGTAACTGCTGCATCGAGAGCGCGAACGTCCACGCGAATCTTCTCATTGGCCTCATACGCTTGCCAAGAGATCAAATTCTCGGGATCGTCGAACTTTGTAGAAGCTTCTGAGTCCCAGACTTGGGGAGTTCCCAGATCGTGTAGGTCGATTTCATGTTCGAGAACAGCAATGTTGTCCCGCAAAGATTGGAGGAGTGTTTGGAGGAAAGATATGATCCGGAACTTGATGGGGTAGTATATTTGCAGTAGTAAAGAAGCTCGAATGTTCATTCATCAGACCGACGACGCCATCTGTTCATGTACCCAGAGACTTCTTGCGTATGTGGAGGGGGCGAACCCAGGGCTTGTGGGGTAGCAGGCCTACCCCACAAGCCATGTAAGTCAACGACTTTGGATGGCTCGTTTGAAGTTGGTTTAAAACAATATCGCAAGACCGCTCTCAAACCTAAATACAGATTAATCTCCATCGCTTTTTTGATTTGAAATTCTCTTCAAAACATAGTCACAAATTTCCCGAATACCCTTCTTCATGTCTCAGCCCCTGAAAGTTACGATAGTCGGAGCAGGCCTAGTAGGTCTAGCATGCGGCATCGCATGTCGTCGTCAAGGCTTTGAGGTCTTCATAGTTGATCAGCTGAAAGAATTTCTACGTCTTGGTGACAGTATCGGATTCGGTTCAAACTCGGCAAGGCTTCTCTATCGTTGGGGAGTTGGGTCCAGGATGGAGCCGATTGCAAGTCAGAGCAGCGAGATGCGCATCTATAACTTTGACTCTTCCGACAAACTCCTCGGTGTCGACGACCAAATTGGCAAATCCGTAGAGAATTACGGATGCCGCCAAATCCTAAGTCACAGGGGCGATTTCCATCTCATCATGAAGGACTTTGCTCTTGAACGGGCGTCAAAATCCGGCTTGGCGAGCGAGTCGAAGTCTACGATCCGAATAAGCCGAGCATCACGCTATCCTCCGGAGAAGAGATTCAGTCAGATGTCGTAATCATTGCCGACGGCGTCAGAAGCAAAGGACGCAGGACTGTGCTAGGTTATGAAGATAAACCTCAAGCAAGCGGATACGTCATTTACCGATCATTCATGAGCGGTGATCTCCTTAGAGATGACCCATTGATCAGCAAATTCCTCAGTGACGGCGACACAATCCGTTTGTTTCTGGCCAAGGACATGCATGGCTTCATCAGCACTTTGCAAGGTGGCAAGGAGATCAATGCAGTTCTTACTCACAAAGACGTCGGCGACGTTGCGGAGAGTTGGACTAAAGAGGCCTCCAAAGAAGACGTGCCGGCGTGTCTCGAGGGATGGGAACCTACTTTCAGGAGAGTCTGGGAAAAGATGCCCTCGGTCATTGACTGGAAGCTCGTGTATCGACCCTGTCTCGATAAATGGGTCGCAGACTCCGGGCTGGTTGCGTTGATGGACGATGCTGCACACCCCTTTCTACCCACTTCGACTCAAGGTGCTAGCCAAGCCATCGAAGACGGAGCTACCATAGCCAAATGTCTCTCGAAATTTGCAGGTGTCGCAAAAACGACGCCGTTAATTACGGGCAGCAATTAACCCCATATATACCCTACGACAGCAGGCGATATCCCGCTAGCCTTGCACACCTACTTCGAAATCCGACACGAATACGTCGCTGAAGCACAGGCGACTGGCATAAAGCAGAGAGAAATATGGCACAACTTGCACGATGAGGACAGTAAAGCGTTTAAGGAGGAGTTTGACATCAACTCAACCATGATGCAAAACCTCTATCTTTAGGAAAACGACGCCGAGAAAGTGGTTGACGAAAGATGGGATGAGGTTTCGGGAGGAATCAAGCAGAAACTTAGAATTAGCAGTTCTTAACAGAGTTAGAATGAGACTCCTTTGCTCATAGTTACCATGATCAAGACTCCGCATTTTCTTAGTTCTTTCTGAAAAGTGACCCATGACCAAGCGTTGAGTGTGTGCATAAAGAAAGCCATGCTGACCCACGTAAAAGCTATGTTGACATGCCGGGCCAAGACATTGGTCACAAGCCCTCATGTACGGAGTAGGCATTGTACCACGCAAAGCATTTCGTTCAAGATTTAGTCATCAACAAAACTGAAGGCAAGGTTCTCATAGCAGCCCTTCAAAGAGCGTTCCATCTACACCTGTTGAGTCAGGCCTGAATCAGCACCGCCCACCCCAGGTCCTAGCGTCACGGATCCCCCGCAAACTCCATGTCCGTTTACTCAATTGCCGACATCAACCGAAAGTGACGAAGACACCTACCATCTTTTCTAAATCCAACAAATCTCTTTAGACAAATCGCGTCTAGAGAAAGGAGATAATGGTGACAGACGGAATCACTCCATGTCAGAAGCTACAGCGAAAATGAGTCGACAACGAGAGGTCCTTCGCGCATCATCACGCGAGGCGAAGAAGTCGGCCTCTAGGCGAGGAGTTGGAAGCTGTGAGTATCGTAACAAGATCCTTAGTGATGTAGGAGCAATCTTTAACCCAACCTGTAGCCAGTGAAGATGGCCAGGCACAACCGGAACGCCCGCGTCCGCACACCTGCAACTACTGCCAGAAGACGTTCATCAGGACTGAACATCTAATACGTCATGTTGCGTCACGTACGGAGCACCAAAGATCTATGCTACTCTCTATTATCAGATTTTCGAGCTGATAATCAAAATTAGATGAGAACCGGAAGCCCTTCAAGTGTCACCCCTGTGGTGCCAGTTTCGGAAGGACAGATGTCCTCCGTCGACATCAAAAGAAATGTCCCGGAAAACCTGCGCAAAACCCATCGCCACGATCAGAACATGAAGAGAACCGCAATGTAGTAGACTGTGAAATTCAGAACACGACAGAGAATGAACCTCGTGAAGCCTTGGATGATATCTTGATGTAAGTCAGAAGTCACATCTGCCTATTGGTTATCACAAGCGCTTATTCAAGATTCTCTAGGACGGAAACAGATCGTCGGACAGATGATCAAAGTAATGAGCGAATGATGGATTATGTCGTCGAGAACACTGACAGCCTTCAAAGCCACGCAGGCGTGCTTGGCGCCCTGAACTTGACGGCCTCTCAGTCCAGTGGATCTAGCGGTGATTGCATGGTAGTTCACCAATCAGGGGACGAAGCAACTCCTGAATCTGGATTAAGCACACCTCAGTCGAGTGCAGATCAGGATCCCACGACAAGCAAGGCTCCTCAGCTTCTTAAAACTAATACCATAGCCACCGATCATGTCGAAGCTCGAACTCAATCCGACCAAGCAGCTGCCCCTGAGAGCACAGAGCCCACAATTGCGAAGAAAACCCGTAACTCGGGGACAGAACATACCAATCTCGATGATTTCCTGATGTTCGGGGACTCATTCGTACCTGGACTCAATCCGGGAGATATCGATCTAGGAAGCATCACAGACTTACTATTTGACTTCAACCCCAGCGACATGATGCTTCCCGTACCCCTTCCTAAAGACACATGCATTCTATCAGATTCAAGCCGGCATGCGGCCCCAGACTCCTCATTCTGCAACGCTCCTGAGAATCTACCTCATTACCAGAACTTCCGCTATACACCTCAAATTATTAGATGTTCCGATGACGACGTCAGTGCAGTCGGCAATGCTTTCGCCAAGACAAATGTCATTACAGCCACCTCAGACTCAGTTTATCTTAGTCGCAGCCAAATTTGACGGTGGATCAACGCATACTTTGACTACTTTGACATACATACGCCCATAGTGCACCGGCCGACATTCGTGCTTTCAACTACGCCAGCCTCTCTGCTTCTTAGTATGCTAGCCATTGGTGGCTGTATTGTTTCAGCGCGTGGTCCCGCCTCGAAGGCCTACGAAGCTTCCTGCCATCTCCTAGCTCAGGTGTGTAACTTCGGTCGATCTTTCTTCGTTGATCCTTACATCTTCCATCCTTATTCCCGTCACTCAACCTGACACTACTATCAGTACGAGCAGGATCTCTTGCAAAGCTCTTTCTCCGAGCTATGGCCCATACAGACCGCCCTTTTATGCATTCAATTTGGGGCATTTTCAGACAACCCCAGATATGCGCGGCAGGCGCAGCGGCAATTTTCTCTTGTAACAGATGTGAGTCAAGTATATGATTTTGTACCGGCTCTAATTCCTACGTAAAGCCGCAAATACTAATCTCCCGAAGCTACTTCGCGCAGTGGAAGTTCAAGTGCGTGGAACTCAACCAGTCCAAGACTCCGACTGGATAGACTGGATCTTTATAGAAACTTTGAGCAGGTCAGTAAATCTTTTACTCTCCACTAGGCAAGGCTCTATCTGACATCTTCAATCAGATTGGCTAGCTGGACCTGCATTCTGAATGCAGCCATATCGCTCCTCGACCCAGAATCGACCTGCATCGCTGCGCCTCAAGTCACAGCGGAAATGATCGTGCCATCTAACGACAATCTCTGGCGAGCACCTTCGGGTGAAGAATGGGCCCGAAACAAAGAGTGGCAAGCGTATAGGCCCGTCAATCTAGTCGAAACTTCGAGACGAGTGTTCATCGGCGAGTTTCCCACGGTCACCATAAGTTCTTTTGGCCTCCTCACGTTGATCGGGGCTCTCGTAGCAAACATCTGCGCCAGAGAGCGCTACTCTCCCGAAATGGCTCCCATTCTTGATCGGGAATACTGCACTCAGATGGAGCGAAGCCTTCAAGGGTGGGAGAATCTCTGGCGCAGTCACCCGTATGCTGAACATGTCACCAATAGACAAAATGATCCCTTGATGGCTGACTGTCTAGATCTGCTGAGCTCTGCTTATCATCATCTTTACATGGGCCAGGAGCTTCAGATCTTGAAGAGAATTGCGAAGGAGCCCAGATGTCACTTGCAACCCCCCTCTCTTCCAACTAACACGAAATTTCTGGTTGTTATCAAGTACGCTACCACTGCTTGGTTGGCGAATACCAAGATAGCTCATGTGCAGCGCAAAGCGGCACTGGAGTTTGGTGGTCTTGGCCCAATGGCAGCTTATGAGACTGGTAAGCATTCATTTCCTGGGTAAATATCACTTGTGGGCAGTCTTAGTAACCTTTTCTTAGCGCTGATTATCTTGTGGTGGCTGAGTCTTCGGCAAAATCTTATATCGCCGAATCCTGGCTACGCCCCGGTGGACGAGAAGGAGGGCTTGGGAAATATCAATCAGATACTCAAAGACATCGTACAGGAACTAGATGAACAAGGCATTCCGGGCGATGGAGACCGGTCGGATATGGCTTCCCGAGCCTTGTTTCACTATCAGGTAATGTTGGAGCAATGGGTGTGGCCATGTGAGTTCTTGTTTCCCCTGATTCTTGCTTATCTGTTTGCTAAGCCACGCTGGACGCGTAGACACGAACTCCATGTCCCAAACCCTGCAAGCTTTTGCATCTCGATTGTGCCTGGGGGAGGCCTGAAGTCCGACTTACTGCGGCTCAAACGGAGAACTTTTGGCAATTGGAACTTTACCCATTCGAGAGAATATGACGTGGGGTGGCTGTATGTTGCACCGATGGGGGAAAGAATGCAGTGCACCCTAGGTATCACGCAGGTTCAACGGCTTCTCAAACAAAAGTTCCCAACGTTTCCCACCAACGCCGATAGTACCCTTGCTGAAACATAATGGGTGGTCCACAAAATACTGGAAGTGGTCCTCCGGCAGCGTTGACGGATCGAAAAACGGAGACAATAAACAAATCAGCATCTTTGCCCATCTCTACATCCACCTGAAATGGTTGGTCAGCGAATTAACCTTGATGTAGATCAACGGGATAGCAATGACTTCAGCTTTTCAGGGTGCGATGCAGTTCGTGATATTACCCCAGTTGCTTATTTCCACGGAGACAGTCTTCATTGTGGTGTTGAGCAGGCTGAGTTGAGATCACGATGGTTTAGTTGTTGGATGACGGATGATACTATGTCCCTCAGCTTGTCATGGGAGGATAATCGGATCATTTACATCTTGCTCTACATCATTGAGTGGGCTATGCTTCTGGTCTTCTAGATACAGAATCGGGCTTCTGCCTACCTGTACTCCTGTAGTATGCGATGAATACGTGTAGCCTTGCTTCATCTATCTAAAGGTACATATATATGTGATCATCATCTTCGGTGCTTGACTCAACTAATGCATCTGATGTTGAATCATCACCACGCAAACTCTCTCGCTTTCACATCACTCTACGAGCGTTTACCTCTTAACTTTGTGTTCAGAACATCTTCAACACACCGACTAATCATGGCTTACCCTGAGAATGTTGGCATCAAGGCCATGGAGATCTACATCCCTGGACAGGTTCGCATCTCTTTACCTTCAATTTTTCTGCCTGCTGATACTGATGCAAACCCGTTCAGTGCTTGGACCAGTCTCTTTTCGAACAGCACCAAGGCGTTTCGGCAGGAAAATATACCGTTGGCTTGGGTCTCAAGTATATGAACTTTTGCAACGACCGTGAGGGTAAGTCAACTCCTGTGGGGGCCCCTTAAATATAGTCTGGCCGCTGATCAACAATCCAGATGCGTCTTCCATGGCCCTCACAGCCGTATCCTCACTCCTGCGAAAGCACAACATCGATCCCAACTCAATCGGCCGCCTTGAAGTCGGTACCGAGTCGTTGGTCGACAAAGCCAAGTCTGTCAAGACCGTGCTGACCCAGCTCTTCGAGCCTGCCGGGAACACCAGCCTAGAAGGCATCGACACTGTTAACGCATGCTACGGCGGCACAAGCGCCTTGTTCAACGCTGTCAACTGGGTTGAATCCCGCTCTTGGGACGGCCGCAACGCTATCGTGGTGGCATCGGATATTGCCCTGTATAAGGAAGCCGCGTCTCGGCCTACGGGCGGCGCCGGCTGTGTCGCCATGCTCATGGGCCCTAACGCTCTGCTTGTAATGGAACCGGCGCTCAAGGGGACTTTCATGACCCATGCCTATGACTTCTACAAGCCGGATCTCAAGGCTGAATATCCCTTGGTAAATGGACATGAATCGCTTCGCTGCTACATGTCGGCGCTGGATGGTTGTTACGAACGTATTCGTGAGAAGGTGGAAGCGGCTAGCCACCGTGGTCACGGACAGGGTTCCAACAACCTTCTGGAGACGTTTGATTACATGGCATTTCACACACCTAACTGCAAGATTGTGAGCAAGTCGTATGGAAGACTTATGTACAACGACTACCGACTGTCTAGCGACAAGAGCCGGTGGGAGACCTTGCCGGAAGAGCTCCGGGGGCTCAGCCATGAGGATTCTCTGAAGAGCAAGGAGCTCGAGAAGATCTTCGTCAATCTTTCTAAGGAGTCGTTCAAAGCGAGGGTCGAGCCGTGTATTGCCGCCCCTACCTTGTGCGGCAACATGTACACTGCAAGTTTGTACTGCTCTCTTATCAGCTTGATCAGCAACATCGATCTGAGAGACAGTGTTGGGAAGACTATCGGCATGTTCAGTGTAAGTCTTGTTCTTGTAATATTCATGTGCGAATTTTCCGCTGACAAGAGACGTCGAAATCAGTATGGCAGCGGTATCGCCAGCACTCTGTATGCGCTCAAGATCACCGGAGATCTCGGCGAGATGGTCCAGAAGATTGACTTCATGAAACGTCTCGAGCAACGTGAGATTTGTACGCCTGAGCAGTATGAAGAGGTGAGAATTACTCTGATCTAATTGTTTTACGAGCCATCACTCACCATAGATTCGCAGGCCTGCTCTCTCAGATTGAAAGCATATGGCGCCAAGGATTATGAGCCTGCTGGAAGTATCGAAACCATGGCTCCTGGGACGTACTACTTGCAGAATGTCGATGATGTATACCGCCGGTTTTACGCTGTGAAGTCATAAAGTCCCATAGACGAGGTCTTCGGCACCTAGGAGCGTTCTGGACATGACCAGACAGTACTTCGACGTGGAAGGATTCAGCACAGAACATCGGTCATCGATGCAGGTAGATAGCACAGACTTCCAACCATTTTATGCAGCCTTGTTCTCTACCTTTTCTTCCTCGCCCGCTGTGACATCCTCGTCGCCTTTCTTCCAACGATATTCCTTCTCGATGCCTAACTCCCTCTGCGCCGTGTCACAGAGCTTCGCGTTCCCACAGCCGCATACGGCCGGTTCCCTGATCCACCGATACGTGATACTCCACCGATCTCCCCTCTTTCGCACCGTTCCATCGGGCAACGTATCCGTCTTCCGCTTCCTGATGCCGTGCTTCCAGTGCAGTCTCGAGTCTCCCGACATCTGCAACATGCTCCTCGGCGTAAGGTCTACTTCCACCATTTTTCCTTCCTCGCCCTTATCCGGAGGTAGCGCGAACTGCATCATGACCGGAGATCCCAGTGATAACGCATACAACTGATCGTATGCGGAATGCGTGTCGACATGAGGTGGAATACCGGCGCTAGGTGGGTAGTGTTGCAGGCAAACTTGATCCGGTGGTCTGCCCTCGCGTGTGGGAAGTAGTGGCTCCAACCAGTCTGGAAAAGGATTGAAGGGAATATTGGGGTCCACGCCGAATGTTTTGTAGTCGAAGGTGTAGCCGTAATGTAGGGAAAGTCGACCGGAGCGATCTGGCCATGAAAGCTCGTTGCGAAAGATGTGTATTAACTTTTCCTCATGCTCGGCTGTTACGAAGTCGTCTTGCCAGAAGATGCCCGAGGGCTGAATCGGTAGTTCGTTCATTGCATAAGTTGCAATATCATGAAGAGGTTTTCATCGGACCAGTGGCGATATGAATAAGTTGATGGATCCTGCTCTTTGAGATGAGGTTGAATCCAAATTTGACTCAGCGGCAAAAGTCGTTCAGTGTGGCACCACCACAGAACCAAAGTGGGGCACGTGCGGGAAGACCAAGTGCGCCGGCTAAGGTACTTACCAAACTTGAGTCTCAAAAATTACACTCATATCATTTAGGACAATCTGGAGAAGAGTTTGGAAAGTGAGCTTGGCGTGCAATGGAGACTCGTTCTCAATAAGATGCTACTCATGAAAACCGCCAATGACACCGTCATGGGAGGTGGCAATAATCTGCATCGCTTGTCACAACATCATAACATGTAAGGCAGGCCTCTACGATCACAGCCGCTCCAGCTACCGTCGCTAAGAACTTCGACCTATGAATGTTGATGGCTTGGCAAGAACCCCGTTTTCGATGGGCTGAGGACTACATGTGACTGCGACTGCTACTGAATCGGAAGGGTGGGGTTGTTTTCTTTGGTGTTGCGGGCGGCGGGGTAGAGAGAATGGAATGTAAAGCACTCAATAAGCATGCCGTATGTCGTGTAAACGTCAACATGAGAACCATGGGCTTGAGAGCCATACTGTTGTGGGATGCTTCCTCCAGCTTGTCTTCACATCACATGTGAGGGACTCCCAGATGATTACTCAGGTGATGAAAACAGTGAATAGATCGGGTCGTACAAGCATTAACAGGGTCCGATATCCCATGTCGCGGATGAAACAATTCTGAAGCTTGATCCCCAGCTGTGCCTCGCTAGACACGGCAAGCACACTGCTAATCAAACTTGAGACGACTGACGGGATGAACGATACACAAACACAGAGCACAGATGGGGGGGACCAAGGCAAGCTTAAGTAGGTTTTAAGGATGAGTTTTTATGTCGCATTAAGCAGCAGACACTAGGTATATGTGTGGGTAGGTAGGGGGACTAGATTTATGTAACCGTTCCGTTAAACAAGGCGTCCCTTTAAACCAACCGTCTTGTTCGTTAACGCTTTTTCCCATATCCCGAGAAATCTGCACAAATGTCCAAAGCAGAAAAAACTGGTGGTGGGCACGAGGGGCAATGGCAAATAGGCCGCACCATCCAAAAATATGTGCCCCGAAAGAAAAGAGGTATCCCATGCGCCGTCAAGAAGCTCTGAAGATTAAGGAAAACATCCATTACTGGGCTTCGTCATCGTGGCGAGGTTTTTTTGCGTGAGTTTGTGTGAGATGACCCCCTTTCCCCGACGAAAAACTCACCCCAGGCAGGGAAGAAGACTGAACCAGGCGAAAAAAGATTGAATCTTTCTTACGCCGAGAACTTGTCGCCGAGGGTGACGTCCAGGTGGCCCTTGTAGTAGCCCTTGCAGCCGACGCCATCAGCAGCCTCCATGCCGGGCATGTAGGCAGCATCGTTGGTGCCGTCAGACTTGACCCAGGAGCAGGTCTTGCCGTTGGCGGCGACCTTCATGCCGTAGTAAGGCAGACTCTGGGAGCCGGCAACGAGGACGGAGGCATCGGCACCGGAGTTGCCACCGTTGGGGGTGGAACCCCAGTCGAACTCGAGCCAGGTACCGGCGAACTGACCGATAAAGGTCTTGGGGACCTCGGTACCGGAGCCGCAGGCGCAGGAGCCCTGGGAGTCGGCGTCGAAGGCGACGTTCTTGGACTGACCCTCCTTGACGGTGAAGGTGATAGCGGCGAACCAGCAGCCGTCGATCAAACCCTTGGGGCCGATCTTGTTGAAGCACGAGCAAGTGTAGTCGGCATCGCTCGCGGTGAAGGTGGTGGTGTAGTTATATAGGGAGACGCTGGCGTCGTTGATGATCTGCATGTTGCAGCCCCAGTCGTCCTCGTTACCGGTGTTGCCAGAGTAGGCGATCTCGGCGATGGTGGCGCGCTTGCTCTTGGAGCCGCTGCAGAAGGGGGTGAAAACACCGCCGGAGGAAGCAGCAGAGGTAGCGGCGGGGGCGGCGGAGGAGGTGGAAGAGGGAGTCGTGGAGGGGAGGATGTTCTTGATGAAGGTCAGGTCGCGCTCCTCGTTGGCGTCAGCGGTGCGGCGCTCGTGGAACTTCTGGTGGTTGTGGAGAGAAGGGTGAGCAGACACGCCGGTGAGGGCGGCCGCGAGGACGACGGCAGAAGTGAAGTGCATCTTGAACTATCGGAGATCGTGGAGAGATTCGTTAAACTCGTTGGTGGTTAAGAATGCTAAAAGTTCTTGTTTATTTGCTAGACCCGTCCGGAAAAGAGTGACAGCGGGTTATCAAGATAACTCGCGGATTTGGACGATGGTTTGAAGAGAGAGTGGTGGTGTCAAAAAACCAGGAGACCGGGTTGTGCCAGAAAAGGGAGGGAGATGAGAGCCATTTTGAAGGGATGGAAATAATCTCATTCGAAGCGCCCTTCTGCGCTGCATGTTAGCAAGAGACATAGTCGAACTGGGGGAAATTGGTGTGGTGACAGGGGCATCGTCACCACGACGTCGCGTTCTGCTCTATCATCCACCATCAACAGCCCATCACAACCCGTCAACAACCCTGCTTAGCCAGGAACAGACCCCCAAACGGGTAAAGGCCCAGAAGTGATGACCGAGAGGGCTAGGCGATGTGGAGGGGGCGCGTCGTTGGTTCCAGGGCCAGACAGGCCGGGCCAGGAACAATCTCTGTTTCTCTCGCTGCTTGCCAACTTGGTTCTGCCAACTCAGGCACAGGCCACAGCTGGCACCCACACACTCCTCTCTTGACGTGTGGGAGCCAGGAACCAGTAGGGAGACATGGGTGAGTCGGATGGTGGAGGGAAATGGATCATGGATGGATCATGGTGCACCGCCGGCGCCAGGGCAGGATTGGACGGTGATGCGGGAAAAGGGGGTGGGGAAGGTAATTTCACCACACGCCAATTCCAAAAGGGCCACGGCCAGCCAAAGCTTGGTCCCAGGTTCGAGTCCAAGCAAATCCCTCCTCAAGGTCGCAGTAACATTCCATCCACAAGCCAACCAGAAGCCAAGCATCACTAGACCGTTACACGGCGGACCTGCCAATGGGTGATTATTGACTGGGAAGATGAGAAACTAAAGCTTGGGTTTGTTTGGTTTGATGGATCGTCATCAAAAAGTATTTCCATCTCATCTTGGGTTGATGCGGATATTTAGCGCCAACAAGCCACATCACACACACATTAGGATGAAAACATCCCGTTGCTGTTGGACAACGCACCAGTGTCTTTCTCGAGTGAAAGTTGCTCCTCTTCCGTACGCCCCATGGATCCCACGCCAACAAATGCCGGCAGGAAGAACGCGCCGGCCAGGCACACCCGCACGTTAGGTTTCTGGCTGCGTGAGAGAGGGGACAAGGCTTGCCGCAATGCCAGGAACTGTGAACTTAGCTCCAGCTCCTGGGCCTGGAACCTGGACCTCGACCTGGAACCGGAACACGAAATCTTGGACTTGGACGGAGGACCACAAATATGGCACCCACAAAGTGCCACCACACACTCCCAACTTTGCACGACGGGACACTCAAGAGAAGCACAAGCTATGACGGGAAGATCGACGCCGCCCGTCCACATGTCCACAACCGACCTGCAGAATCACACAAAGTTTTGCCTTGCCAACCTGCAGTACTGCGCTGCCCGCTGGGCCGGATTCAGGTTTCTCGAACCCTTCCAGACTTGATAAGAAGTCTGCCAGACTTGATAAGAAGTCTGGAACGGTACAAACTCCAAGTCTTGCTTTTGCTTTTCTCAATCTCTCTCCATGACTCCGACCAAAGCAGAGACTTCCCCCGGTGGAGATCCGGTGGAGGCGCACGAGTGCATAAAGTTAAATCTCTCACCCAAATGCTCGTGAACAGGCGAGTCGACGCCCCCGAACTTCAAAGACAGTCGTCACTGCTTGCCTTCCATGACGTTGCATATCCAAGCCCTATGGTCGCAATACCCCTTCATCGACATCCTATTCGTCCTTCAACCTGCTGTCAGCATGCAAAGTTCGGCAACCGAAAACCCCTCAGTTGTCTTCTAGTCTAGTCTCCCAGTCTCTCGGAAGAGGGTCGACGTCTTGATAACCGGGAGCATCGAAATGCAGCATGAACGCATTCAATCATCAATATCATCCGGTGGAGACAACCTGACAGGACCTGTCAAGTGAGGGATTGGAGATTGCCCGTGCTGTTCAGAAAGAGCAACACCAGGATAACAGGCAAGTATACTGAGTCCTGGCGGTATGTTTCCATGCCTTAGACCAATGGAGCATCATCCCATCTCTCCTTTCCCTTCGCCTCCCTTCGGTTACCATATTGCCCTTCCAATGTTCATAGGATGTTTCCTCGGCAGTGCAGTACAGCTCATTAGAGACTTCGTACTCACAGCGTCCCATGTTCCGATCCCAGTGCCGCTGCCGCACAACGGCCCGTACGCCGCCGGGGGGGTTGAAAGTGTGAGTGCCAGGAACCGATGGGGTCTGGATCTTCCCAGCTAAACCCAGCGGAAGCCCGTTCAAGCCGCTCAGCATAACGGATACGGCGACCCGGTCCACCAAGTGGGAACACAATCACCATTTTGCCTGGTTGCTGTCCAAAATCCCTCCCCCCTTCCTCCCGTGCTCCCCTTCCCTCACGGACTGATTCCAAGGAAGAGCCTTTTCTGCGCAGTGCGAATTTGCGATTCCCTCTGTCCCGTTTCTCCACTGGGGCAGTGCTGGCAGCGAAGACCAGTGGGCAAGTGGCAATCCTGAACGCGTCATAGGCCTCGTCAGGACTGAGTGCAGACGGAGCGAGCTACCGCCAGTCCAGCGAAGGCCTGCAGGCCGGCTGCTTCTGCTACTGCAGGACCAGCTGTTCATCAGGGCACTGAGAGCACATAGACACGGGCGGGAGGGCGCTCGTGAAGACGGTGTGTCTGGGAGGGCCCTGGGGATCGATGCTTATTGCTGTTTACCGTGGAAGACAGTAGCAAAGTTCGGACGATTCGATCTTCCTCCTGATAGCTTGGCTTGCGGCTGTGTAGAGTCCGGACGGCGCCAGAGAAGGGGAGCCGCACCCGGACCAAATGCGCCCATGTGGCATTACCCGGACCTGGATTATTTGCCTCTAAGAATAGTCTTCCCTTTTTATTGTTTCGCTTTGGTGCTTGGCCCGGGTGGTTGCCCAGGGAGGCAGGTGGAATGTGCCTGCAACAATTGTTCCTGAAGATCATCCCTCTTTGGGACAATTTTGGGCATGCCTTCGAGGACTTGAGTGAGATTCGATCTGACTTGTCGACTGATCTGCCAGATCAACAAGAGAGCATTCAACATTGTCTTCCCCTGGGAAAGGGGGCGAGGCGGCGCCCAATGCACTTGACGTGCACACGAAGCTTTTGTCACCACACCACGCTCTCAAGCACAGGACAACGCTTTAATGAATCGCGAATTGGCAGTCGATGCCGCCATGGCACCACCCATGTGCCTCGAATCAACACAGCGCTGCTCTCACGAGAGCAGCCATCTACCCTGACCTGAGATGGTCATATGCACCGGGACTCCGGGCGCGCACACAATCTTCCCGCCCTTTCGCATTGTCTCGTATTAGCCACCACCGCCACAACGCCGCTCTTGCGTAGGGCTTTTTTTTTTTCTCGCCAGAGCCGCTTCGCGCCTCCTTAGGGCCCTGCCCCGGCAGCCTGAGCATCACACCACGAGTCGTTTACGACTCAATAGCCCTGATGGTCTAGCGGTATGATTCTCCCTTAGGGTACATCTTCGGATTCGCCTATTTGGGAGAGGTCCCAGGTTCGAATCCTGGTTAGGGCCTATTCTTTTGCATTTTTGCCCTTTTCTAGTTGATGGTTCCTTTGCTCAAGACTGGGGGGGGCTGCTGGCTACTGGCTGCTATGGGAGAGCTCACAAGCGTGATAGACGTGTCAGTGCTGAGAAAATGTGATGTGGACGAAGTGAGTAAGCTTTTGTCGCTACTCCTCGCCGCTTAGTATCAATGTATCATGGACCGTGGCGTAGAGGTAAATAGAACGACAGTTGTCATGTATATGTCTCCTGCGAAATGGAGTGGGCATCTAGGTGTTGACAGTTCTTCCTGATCTATAAAATTGTCGCAGCGCCACACGTTTACTGCCTTACGATACCGCTTTCCACAAGCCGATTATCCGTCTTGTACGGTATATAGATATGACCCTCATACGGATCTCCCACTTAGAGGAATCAAGCCACTTTCTACTATACATGTCTTCCACTTGCTACCTCGCTTTGTGATAAAAATCAATATGTGATTATCATTTCGGATTAAATCTCAACATAAAGGACATACCTTGGACTGAACGCCGTTTTAGACTTGGCTGAGGAAAATTGGGCAACGTTCAAGTGCAAAAGAAAACGCCTATATACAAATTTCTTTGCAACGAAAGAAACTGTGAGATGCACCATCAAGGTTAGTGTAAAGATGAGGTGAGTCAACACACAAGGTTTATGATGAAGAGCTTTCTTTGGTTGACCCAAGATCCGCAGAGAGCCAGCCGCGGTCCACACTCGACTTTTAGAAGCAGTCGGAGATACCTCTCCGGATAGACTCTTTAATTAACATAAATGTCAGAACAACAGATGCTTTGTTTTTCCTTCCGTACACATAAAATCAAAAGATCAAACACCACAACTTCATACGCAACCGGCTGAAAACAACATACCGTATCAATCCACGGACCATAAGTCACCACCAACTGGCAATAACACACTTACACCATCCAACATGAAGTTCTTCGCAACAGCCGCCCTCATCCTAGCCCTCTCCGTCACCAGCGCCTTGGGACAGCTGGATATCCCTAAAGGCGAACCCTACTGCACGGGCGACTACTTGAGAATCATGAGACTCAACCGCAAATGGATCATCCACGCCATGGTCCCCAACACCGACGATATCCCTAGAATCTGCGGCGGTCTCTGGGATAATCTCAAGTCGTTTCCGGCATGCTCCACGCTCGGGATCGTCGCCTGCGAGCACAGGTGGGAGGGCATGTTGACCTGGCGTTTTGGGACGATGGGGTGGTGCAACCACGGCATGATCGAGTCCGTGTGGTGGGAAGCTACCAAAAACAACTTCGGCCCACTCAAGTGTAAGAGCAAGGTCAGGCAATGAACCTGGAGAAAGGTATCTCATTTCACGCGAATGGGATATGTTCTATGTCGTCTGCGAATCTATGGATACAACTCGTGGAGAATCGTTGAATATTCATGTTGAAGAACTGTAAGTAGTGATCGCGGTATAGAGATGAAACCCTGCTGAACGTAAAACACCTTAGAGGCCATATGCACACCTCCATTCCTCTCAGTAGTCGACCAACCCAACACCAATCTCATAAAACCTACGTCCGGTTAACGATAAGTGCGGATAGGGGAACTTCAGTCTCGAGAAATGGCAGGGTTATAGGAGGCAAGAGGCCGACCAGTCTGAACTAGGCTGGATTTGTTCAATGGTCAGGATCAGATTCAGCTTCGTAAGCGTACACTGGTTCCAGACCAAGTTGGTATTCGAGGGGCCTGAGAGTGCGATATCCACAAGGAACAGTTTATTGAAACATGCAGTTGTTGTTGTTGTTGTTCTATTTAACGCCATGGCGGCAAGGGCGCAGCCGCCCTTGCGGCAGACCTCCCGAAGGGTATGTGGCGTGAAGGGTCGCAGGCTCTAGCTATATACTATATAGTACACGCCGTATCCTGACGTCCTCCAAATCTTGCTCGTGAGCTACTATGTGTTCTATCCATCCCTAGTTCCCACTGGTGCCCTAGTTCCGTTATAACCATCTGGTTTCTTAATAGAGGTAGTTTGTCGTTTGGAGGATAGGTTATGACCTATCTCCTAGTACCGCGGGCAGATCTTCTGGAAGAAGTCTGTCACGCAGAGGAAGGCCTGGAAGCCTTCAGAGTCAGTGATTAGCCCCTTGAAGTAGCGATCGAGGGACCCTATAGGTCCTACGGGCTCCTGGCGGCTGTAGGGGTAGAGGGTGGGCCACTGTTGCCTCCTCAGTAGGGTCTTTCGGCAGTAGACTAGATGGTCTGCCTCCTTAACCCATCCACAGGAGCAGGTGAGTAGTGCTTCTGTGTGGTTAAAGCGTTGGTGATATTGTTCAAAGTCCCCGTGGCCTGACCGTGCCGCGAGGAGGTGATGAAGGGCAGCCCTAGGGAGGCCAAGTTCAGGAGGGCAAGCAAGGGTAGCCTTGAGCCCTAGTTGGGTATAGTGGGGAGTTGCCTCTTGTTTCCACCATCGTCTATATTGGCGTCTTGGCCGCTCTTTAGCAAGCCACTTGATACCTGATAGAGTAGCTAGTTGGCCCCTAAGGACTGGTAGAGTTGTTCCCTCCTTAGCTAGGCTGTCTGCTTCTTCGTTTCCTTTAATACCTTGGTGCTCAGGAGACCAATGGGTTTGTATATCGTGTATCCTAGCTACCTCCTGGATCTCAAGGAAGGCCGCTTGTGAGGAGTCTGGGACCTTACCGCGAATCCCCTGAATAACGCTGGTATTGTCGATGCAGATGTGTATAGGCTGGCCTTGGGAGGTCTGAAGGGCCCGTCGGAGCCCAGCCCTCGCCCCCTCCGCCTCACCATCAAACACTTCTGCTAAGCCGAGACGGCCGCAGCCCTGGGCTATACGTTTATTGTTGCGGTAGATAACAAAGCCGAACCCTGTAGCCCCGTCAGGAGCTTTGGAGCCGTCTGAGTATACGACTGTATGCTGACCTGGCACAGTCTTGAGCCAGGCCTGGAAGATCCTAGCTGCTACTTCCTTCGTCTGTGTAACTATAGGGTCATAGGACCCTGGGAGGTATTGCGGCTGTAGGAGCGCTGGCCTTGGACACTTAGGTAACAGGCCAGCTGTTCTTTGAAGCCTGGTCTGTTGCCGCCCTGACTGCAGCAGCCTTGGGACCAAGGGATGCTGTTGGTCAACCTTCTGCAGGCGTATAGCGAAGCGTAGTCGCGCTGCTTCGAGGGCTACCTCTGCTGTGGGAAGGCCAGCGTCTCGGATGAGGCTACTGGTCGGTGTGGTTCTCCAGACAGGCAGGATAGCCCTTGCTGCTGCTGTAATAACTTTGCTAAGTCTACGGGCCAGGCCCTTCTGTCCTGTACCAACTGTAGGTATCTGTAAAGCAGTGCTACTGCTAGTATTGGTGCCGCTGTTTAGAGCTGGTTTGGTTAGGCCCGCATACCAGGTCTCAACTCCATACAAGGCTGTTGGAAGGACACAGGCAATAACCGCTTGTCGTACTGCGGCTGCTGGGAGTCCCCCTTTGGTACTTGTTAGGTGCCGTAGGAACTGGGCTACCTTCTTTGCCGCTGCCACCTTAGTTTCGACATGGTGACGGAAGGTGAGTCTCTTGTCGAACCAGACTCCTAGCCATCGTACAGGCTTAGTTGAGGCCTTGATAGTTAGGCCCGTCGCCTGTATATCTGGTAGGTCTTTTGTCTGGTTATATTTCCTGCTGAAGTGGACTGCCTCACACTTAGCTGGGTCAAAAGCAACCTTGTTATCAGTGCCCCAGTTAAGGATATGAGTGATCTTTTGGCCTAGGGCTATAGCATTTCCTTCTAGCGACGGGCTAGTAGCTACTAAGCCTATATCATCCGCATAGCCAAACCGTAGCTCTTGATCGTCGGCTAGGATATCCGCTAAATATAGTAAAAAGAGAATAGGGGATAGTGGGGAGCCTTATGGTAGCCCACAGGATAGAGGGAAATCCTCTGTAGTTGTATCCTCTAGCCTGACCCGGGCTGCTCGGCTAGAGGTAAAGGTGAAGATCAGCCTAATCAGATGACTAGGCCAACCCTGCTGTCGTAGCCTGATAATAAGTCGGTTTCTTAGGACAGAGTCAAAAGCCCCTTTAACGTCCATTGTCACAAGAGTTGCAGTGAGCCCTGAGTCTAGAGTTGAAACATGCAGTAATGCCAGTCAAACTAGAAACACCAGGGAATTTTGCCATGTAAATATACTCGTTGCTATCCATCTACTATGCTGTCTTGACCATTCACCTCCACAAATGTCAGTGTCTGTAACCGGTCTCCAATCACTTACCTATCGGGATGGGGGATCGTAGATGTCAGTATCATCCTCAGGGCCGTAAATCCCTATTTCCTTCAGAGCACAGACAGGGCGACGCAAATTGGAGGTGTCGTCGCTTGATGTATCCATGTCAGTTGCAGCATCTGCAGCAGCCCTAGCAGCCGCAGCACATATGAGGTTGTATAATATTAATGGCCCAAAGCCAGAAGCAGTTATAGCCTGCAGATCCGGAGGGCGATTGATCCCAGAACGAACACAAGGTGGCGGTGATCCGTTGCGCTCGCTAGCCGTGTTGAAATCGTAGTTTTGGGGTCGAGCTGTACCAGCTCTACCCTCGTACTTCTTCACCACATCACCTTCCACCTTAGGAGGCGTGGCCATGAGCGGCTCGAACCAGTCCGGTGTGGTCAGGGGACCCTCTTCCTCATCTGATACCGTTGGCTGAAGACTGTCTGGATGAGGCGTCACATCCCCACGCGACCAAGTAGATTCAGCAACATCTGCCGCACTGGTGAATCTTACTTCCTTGGTTCTCGTCAAATCCAGCGGGGCCGGTCGACGGCGGGAGGGCACCCCATCAGCAACAGGCGATCGATCACGAACAGGGGACGGGGATGAATACTGACGAGGACTTGGAGTCGGCGTCACAGAGGCAGGAATGCTGGCCCGCGATTTCCAGTTCTTGCGCATCCAATATCCTCTTTCCAACCCAGCAAGCAGGCTCTCGCCGTTCGAAGGCCAGGGCTGGTGCTGATCCCGCTTGTGAAGGAGCGGACAGCTCGCGACTCTACAAGGGTAAAAGATGCAGGCGAGTCCCGCCTTCTCCATGTGCTCCTTCTCCTTTTTGGAGATGTGCTGGTACCGAGCGCGATCAATCATGCGGAGGCCCGCCAGACTTACGCCTTGCTGGTACACGTCTCCAGTCATGATGCGGGCGCTTGTTCCACCCGGCGTCACGATGATGACGGTGAGGCTCTCGTCCCAGGTGCCTATATCGTTTTCGTTTCGAGAGACGTGGACCTTGTGGCCGTGGAAGGTGCTAACAAGCTCAGACTTGCTGAGATACTTGACCAGGTCGTCCGTAAGGTCCTGTACGGCACCCCAGATCTCGGGTAGCCACCAGGGGTCTTCTTCGGGGTTGTTGACGGCCTTAGCGCCCCAGGATGACACGATCCGAAGCTGCTTGGCGGATTGAGGGGTCTCCGGAAGGTCTGCGCTCTGGTTGACCAGGATATTCAGGGGTGTTGGCTGCTGTGTGCTGTTCATGAGGTCTACCGTATTGGCCCATCGAAGGCATCGGCTGTCGTTGCCGCTGTCGTCCTGGCAGTCGTCCCAGCTGTCATCTCGGTCGTTGTCCCCGATTGATTCACTACATGAATACACACTTGAGGAAGAGTGAAACTCATACTTGGATCTCTCCGGCGGGTCTAGAGTTGAACGGTGGTTCAAGTGCGTCGTGGCAATCGACGCAGTCGACGCAATAAAGGCCTCAGACTGGGGCGAACCCGGCCCGGCCGGGATCGGGATTGCGGTCATGGCCAAAAGAGGTAAGCTGTAAGACTTGCCTTTGTTATTTCGAATAAACGGACGTTGCTCACCGGGAGGAGGTGCGTTCGGGCGGCTCAAGAACTCTTCGGCAAAGCCGTGAGCCGAGTCGCCAAAGTACTTGTGCGGAGACGGATAGAGGAACTCGTAGAAGTCCTTGGCCGCCTGCTCTGCCGACCAGCGGCATCTTTCGCAGACGAACTCAGCGAGACGTTGGACTCTGGTCAGCTTGAGGGTGCCACAGGAGCCTAGGATAGAAGGAGAGACGTTGGCCCAGTTGGTTCCGCTGGCGATGTTAACGGTGTTGGCGCAGATTTGGTTGACGTCTTCGAATCGGGTGAGTTGAAGACACACATTGCATTGGGAGGTAGGCTGAAGGATAAGACACATGGTGATTGGAGGTCTTGTTGAGGATAAATGAGACGGTGGTCGTAATTAAGGGCTTTGTGCTGTAGGTTAGATGGTTAGATGACGCCTAGATGTTGTGGTGAAGTAGACTGTGGAGGTTAGAAACTGAATGATGATGTTGAGAAAATGAGATGAACTGGATTGGAAAGCTCTAGACTGAAGACGAAACGGTTCGCATTTATACGCAAAGAACCGTACTGAGTTTCACCGACCCGATGCATTGTCTTTCCCTTGTTCAGAACAAAGGCCTTTGCAACTGATGACAGTGTCTAAGTATTGCGCTGTCAAAGTCAAAGGGATGGTGAATGTCAAAGAGAGGCAGCCTTTTGCAAGATCAAAAGCCTTTGCTGTCTAACAATAAGACAAGAGATTCTTTGGCATCTATGATCGGTTGGTTTAGTGTTGACATTGTCCGAATTCTCACCCGATCTTTCGGACTTCAGGGGAGCTAGATCACACAAGATGTTTGGGGCAAAGTTTGAGACTGGCGCACAAGACAGCAACTTATGTCGGAACGACAGGGGCTTCAACAATCTTTGGACTTCATGTGATAATGCTAGTTTTGTGGTCTCGTATAGTTTCCAATGTTCTCCTCGAGTCCTAGACGCGCCCTGTCCTTCAATCTATAGTTTAGGCGTACCCCTTTGCGTCGGCGAAATATCTCATGCCACGAGCTATGTCTCTCAGTGTACTAACGATCTAACATTATCGGCGGATATTCGGCACGCTCTCGAAACCACCCCGATATGTCGTACCTTGCGTATCGTCTGTTCCACCGGGGTGCGGTCACGCTCTCGGCCAATCTCCCGGATCAGCTACCTGAGAAACCACATGTTCCATACTGTCAGGGCAACACGATCCTCAGGGTTCTCCTATGGCCACGTCACGGGCATGCTTGCAGCTTTCAATCGTTGCGTAAAAAAGAGTGACTCTATTTAGATCATAATTGGATGTTTTCATCTTGTTTACTTGATCTCAATCCCTGACAAAGTATCCAATCTCATGTCATCTCAACCCGAACCTACCTTACCTGAAAGAGCGAGCGACTAGAAGCACAAATCTTTAGATGAAAAAAAGTGAACATCCCCCCCACATCAGACCGCCTTAATCTAGAGCTCGTTCTGCTTCTTGCGGGCATCAATGATGGCAAGAGCCTCCTCGGCAGCTTTGACTCCAGAGAGAGCCATGGCGCCGAAAGTCGGACCTAAGTATCCCCCAAACGTCAGCAAAGACTACACACTCTCCACCAGGAAGTCCCATGAGAAGAGAGAAGACGACTCACCCATGCGGTTGGCACCATCAACCTCGCTCAACTCCATCCCGCCCACAATCAACCCCGGCACAATCTCCCTCGTCCCCTTGACAATAGCATCCTCAGCAGTCTGCATATCCAGACCGCGCATGCCGCCAAGCTGCTCAATCTGCTTCATGCTCACAAGCCTCTTGACGCAGAACGCGCCAAACGGGCCGTCGTGGCCGGTAGTCGACACCACGAGCGGCGCGTTGATGGTGTTGGGATCCATGCAGCTCTGATCGTCGTGATGCATCGAGACCAGAGTCCAGTTGGTAACCACACCCGCAACCCGCAGACTGCCATCCTCGTTCTTGCGCGTAATAAGATCCTCCACTGTGGTAGCGTTAAACAGCTTCACGTTGGAGAACTGCAACACCTTGCTCATGACAGTAGACGTAAACAGCGCAGCGTGCTTGACGACGACAAAGTCTCCCTCGTCCTCGTACGGCACACCGACCTCGTCCAAGAAGACTTCAGCAGGCTTGCGCATCACCATGGCGGAGAACAACTGCCCGCCGAGCCAGGCGCCACCACCGGGGGCAACACCGGCCTCGACGATGGCGATCTTGAGGTCCGGGCGGGCTTTGGCGAGGACGTAGGCCGTGGAGAGACCGCAGGATCCGGCGCCGACGATGACGACGTCCGACTCGGCGTAGGTGTCGAGGTCGGAGAAGTAGCGGCGCGTCATGGCGCGGGAGACCTGGGACTCGCGGATGGGGGCGAACTTGAAGGTGTCCCATTTGCCGAACATGTCCTCTACCTTGGTAGTGGAGGCATTGGCGGCTGCGGGGACGGGGGTAGAGGGCTTGGACTTGTTGGCCATGACGGGGACGGCGTAGTCGCGGACGGGGGAGATTGCAGCGGGAGGAGCCATCTCGTTCTTCGTGGTTTGTTGTTGGGGTTCGAAAGGAACTTCCTCGGGTTATTGTCCTTGGTATAATCTGCTTGTGTTAGGGTGCATGATCCTTTCGCTGGTATTGTCCAGATCAAGTTCAAGGCCGTATATTCTCAGCCACACCGTCGGCATCGGCCGCTAGCTCATCATGGGAACGAGTGATGGCAGCGACGTCTGCGCTCGGGAGGGCACCGGCTCATGCATTTTGTGCTCAAGAGTGTTCACATACTCGTGAAAGTATTTGTATGGTGAAGTGCTTCCTGTGAGGGTGTCAGTCTGTATGCGTTCGGTTACACGGAATTGGGCCTACTGTTGGTGTGTGTATGTTGGAGTTGGTCAATGAAATATGGTTGCGGGTGGGACCACAAGAGGTGATTCGTGAGTGGAAACGGAAGGATGAGCACATTAAATAGACCATCGATAAGGAAATGCATCGTACAAACTTTGGACTATCGCCTGCGGGGTAAAAGACATCATACATGCGCAATTCTGAGCTCTTTTTCGCCCTCCCGCCCGCTTTCTCGGCCTACGCAGCTGCACTTCTAGGGGCGGGATCGGCCAATGTTCCCAGCAGTAATGCAGTGAAGGGACACAGCGACCAGGCCCTGATGTACCTCGCGTCTCGCCTCGACGATCACCGCGTGTACGGCTGCTTCGTACACTCTACACATAACCTCTAGGGGTCCCACGGGGTCTGAACTGTGTGTCGTTGAACCCCACCGGCGGAGTCGTTCCCGAAAGCCGATGGCACCCGCCTCCGGGATCGGTCCCATCCGAGTGGCTCATCCCTCCCGTGCCGTTTCCTCCCGTCCACCGATTCGAATACCACCAGGAGCTTCGAATTCGAGGGCTTGAATCACCTCTATTGAAGCATACCTCTGGAAGCCATAGCTATGCAGTACTTATCTACGTTTACAGCAGTATCCCAAAAGATCATCAGGCCGAAAAGAAGGTTTTCCAACACCGCCCGCCGATGGCCGGACGAAACCTCCCGCCTGCATGCGGTCACCCCACCCCTAGCGAGCCAGCCACCAGCGAGCCAGCCCAACGGCAAGACACGGGCGGGCGGGGCGGCGGTCCCGGCTACTTCACGCGGAGTTGCTGTTAGAGGCATTGGCGCGCCCGCGTACCTTACACCCAAGGCATGGAAACGTAAAAGGTACTCTGTACAAAGAGTGTGGAAATTCGCGCACCACAACTAAACGGTTACAGTAGGTAGGTAACAACGTGACAAAAGGAACGTGCGAACGAAACTTGCTCATATCTCCGAGTCCATGTGTCGTTTGGAACGGGCCGTCTCTGAGTGGCTGCTGAGGAGAGCTTAACCGCCGATGTAGGATTGGTTTTCGCCAGTGAGGCTTTACCTGGGCTCCGTATCTTTACTAGAGTAAGGTACTCGCAACAGACGGGCGTGGGATCCTTCCTTGGCAAGCGTCATGTAACTACCACCGAGGAGACACTCTCGTCCACCTCAGTAGGGCATTGGAATGATGATGCTCAGTTAAGCAATAATATTTATTATTTGATTTGTTTAAATTGGCTCGCCGGAGCAGGCTTGACATGCTTCTATTGTAAGTGATGCGTCTGCGGCAGACGCATGGCTCCCATTGGATTGTCGTTGGGTCACCGAACCAGAGGTCGGTGGCAAACAGAGTTCGTGAGTACGGTCAGATCTGTTCCCCAACCAAGGTATGGTATCAAATTTGATGGCCATTGGCATGTCGAGGGCGGTCAGTTGTTTTCAGGGCAACAGCTACACCCGAGAGGTCGTAGAATCCGAGGCATGGTCCCACACCTGGTCCAACATGTGTCTCTCTCTTTCCTTCGGCTGGAAGGATTCCAACGCTCGTAGCGGTGGTTCAGGAACCTGGGAGCCCTTGAGATGGTGCCTCCGGCGGAAGCATCGACCAGGCAGCAAGAGACATGAAGACGTCTGCCATCATCAGCTTGCCTTCTGCGCAAGTGCCGGAGCATTCAAATAAGCGCTGCCGCCAGCACACCCCTTGTCCTGTCCAGCGTACTCCTCCCCATTCGACAGCAAAACCTTTCCACCTCTTCTCCATCCCCCACCATCGTCGCTCCTAGCAATGGATGGACTACTCGCCCAATCCACACTGCCTTCGGAATCCTCCACTGTGGTATCGGACTGGCTGTCCTCCGCCTGCAGCACATCCCAGAACCGGCGGGCGGGTGTATCAACCAGCTTCCCGAGCTCCGCCATGGCGCTGGCGTGCCCACGATCGTACCAGGGCATAAGGTACCATCGCCGCGGCGCGAGGAACATGACCTCGATCCAGAGGACGAAGATCATGAGCGAGACGGGCTCCTTCAGCCTCAGGAGCGAGAGATACTGCTCTGATACCAGCGATGGCCAAATGATGAAGTGCTTCCATATCCGCGGCCGCCCGGGGAGCGATGTGATCCAGGATTTCAGGGCACCAAGGGCGCCAAGGTATATCTTGATGTCTTCAACTTGTATCCCTGTCGATTCGGGACCTAGGCATAGAAACTCGACGAGCTTGACAATCTTCTGCATGACTGGTCGTAATAGTACATCGCTGCTGTCGCGCCATTCTTTTAGATCGACTTGAGCGAGCTTGTCGCGGATAGGGCTCTTAAAGACGTGTGGCGTAACCGTGTCGGAGAATCTGGCCGCTACCCGCATGACCGTGAGAGCTTTGCAAGGCTCAAACGTGCTAACTTGTCCCATCACCTTCTCGTCGGCGAACGGTCGGTAGTAACCAAAGATACCGTTGCACATAGAAAACACAAAGGTGGCCAGCCAGTTCTCCTCTGTGACCTGAGGAACGGCGAGCCGGAAATAGTTGCTTGCTTGTATGGCGTGCTGACATGCCATCGAGTAGTATCGCTTCGCGTTTGGCGGTTCGAGGTAGCATAGGTGCAGAGCCGCAATGGAGAGCATGCTCTGGTGGATAAAGACGTTACGTGACGCCAGCTGGGGTACCCATCTCGACCACACGTCACACTTCCGAGGATCGCTCTGTAATGAGAAGGTGAACCAGGCCTCGTTCAGGAAGTGGTGCTTGAGCTCGGCTTCGTCGGCGCGAAGCTTCTCGGCAGGTAATGAAGCGCTGAGGGCATCCCGAGAAGACGCATGTGCCGCAACTGTGGCTGCACGGCGGACCATGCTCAATGTATCGCTGGCCTTTTCTCCATTTTCGCGGTTCAGGGCGTCTGCGAGCAAGCCAAGATAGCTGCAGTGTTCTTGGCGACGGCGACAGTTGGCGCATACGGGACCGACGCAGTCGCACTAGAACCCACGACAAGTCAGCAAAGGAAATGCCCCGAAGATATTACAGTGTAGTATTGGGGGACCTAGATGGCGATCATGTCTTGCTCGGCTAACCAACATCGTGACTGGTTGGAAGAAGAACCCAATAAACCGGGACTTTGACATGCACGTCACCGGTCTGTCCCGATATTGGCAGGCCACGTCTTGCCCATGCCTACCCGCCTCTTCACAGATAGAATCATTCCGTACCTTGACACGACGCTTCTTGCACTGTCGGCACCCGTTCTTCGTCTTTCCGTGATACTGCCTTGAGCCCTTCGGCATTCTATCGGTACACAAGCTCGTTTGCAGACGTTCTGCCCTTTGTAACTCCTCTTGTTCGGATCGGACGTTGGTAAATTTTGTCCCGGTGGATAGGCGGGCGGAAGAGGTGGCGCGGGAGAGTAACCCTCGACGGGCTGACTACTTGTTTTTAAAACAATCCGTTTAGTTCAATATACGAAACGTCAGAACTTGGGGAGATGCTTGACCTTGTCAGGGATGCATGGCTGTCCTGACGCAAACTCAACTTCAACGCCGCACGTCCCCCGCTGTGACAACGGGGTGACAGAAACCCGAGTGGCGATGCGTGAGAGGCTGGAGCTGACCGAACAGCGGGCAGTGTAAGCATCAGAAGGCTGTTGTCATGCAGGGATCCGATACCGACATGCAGCTTGCCGCACTAAACTGGCAATCCGTTCGCCCCAGGTGGGAGAAGACAGCTGCCAGTGCGAAGTTTCTTGGACTTCACGATGCTGCGTAGCCGGCTTGGTGCGGTGCCTACTACCTAGCATCACGGCAAACATTGTCTCTTCTGTCCCCACATGCCCTAGTATCTCAACTGCGAGAGGTTAGTCGGTTCTTGATGAAGGGTTCTTAAGAAACCAGACTGTAGAGAAGACGACGTCGATAGGTGAAGCTACGCTTATGTCGATGGCCCTTAGTGATGTCTCTTGAGAGGCAATCTCATGTTATGACGGTGGAGTGCTTCCGCCGGTGTCCAGAGATGAACATTCCTCGAATTGCCGTTGGCCGTTGTGAATACCGGAGCTTAATCCACGCCTTCTTCTGGAGTATCGATCGTCATAGACGAGGTTGGCAGTGCCATCTAGGTTTGAAACAAATCCAAAGACGTTTCGCACTATAGTCATAAGCTAAGATGGTATGCATTGACGTGAAATCGTAGCACTTGGATACCCCGTTGGCTTTGCAACACTGATGCCGCGGCCGTACATTGGCTGGATCTGAGCTGGCTGGTGCGTAGAAGGCAAAGCTGCAGGTGTAGCCTTGAACTCCCGTGCGTTGCGTTTGGATGCAACCGCCCGCCTTAGTAGCCAAACTGACGGGCTAGGAAAGTAATCCCGACCGTTCGCCTGGGTTATACCTTACGAACTATACTTGACATAGCTGGGATGGCCGTAAGACGTTGGTGTTGCGTGATTCTGGACAAGAGAGAGTTCGCAATGACAAATGTGCCCGCTTCGAAGTCTCCTATGGAAAGTGGTTGGCTCATCATTGGCGTAAAGCATGGGCATGAGTTGCTATGGGTTCGGATGGCGTTTGGGACAGCTCGATCTGGATCAGTGATCTCAAACTGCTGTGCAGCGAGCAGGTTAGACAAGGGCTGGAATGAAGCTCTACAGGGGCGCAAGCAGTTCGGCAGAAACCTCGCCTCAAGGCACCATGCGTCAATCACAGACCCGGGCCTGGGTCACGTCCAAGAGTGAGGGAGCTGTCACGCTTGAGCGTGGACGCAGACCATCGCCTGTCACCATCGGAATAGGCTAGACTGGAGGATCCCATCGCCAGGGCCGTTCTTTTTGAGCCGCATGTCTTGGGCCTTTAGCTGAATGACTTTTCTCGTGGACCGCTGTCGAATCAAATACTGACTGGGACGTTCCCACGCCAGTGCAGAAATTGCCATCCTTGGTAGCTGATGCGACAAAGTGTCTGCTCACAGCTTGACTTCACGAAGCTTCGCACGCTCGTGGGGTTCGAGATATCAAAAGGAACAAGCGGATTAAAAGATGATCCGCCGGCCAATGCATAACGAAGCCCTTATTCCAGAGCTTTCCTCGAGATGCAAGACGATATCAGCCCTCATTCGGTGGCTTGAATAAGAAATTCTACGTTCCATATGATAGGTGAGCGCTTTTGGTGACACCCTTGTCCTGCGAGGCGTTTTTAGTGCTGATTACACCTGACCGGCGTGTGTAACGAAGGTCGGACATTCCTAGCGATAGGGGGAGAGGGGAAAATGTTCGTAATATAACGGTGGCCTACGCCCTGATCAAAACCTGCTGGTAGCTCGCCATTTCTCTTCAATATCGCGGGTTGTGCTACTCCGACTGATATCCGCGGAAATGGCAGACGTTAGCGCTCAGAGTATGGAATCGGCCGGTAGGAGTTACTCGATGATTGTAGCCACGGCGGCATTGCTGCTGCTACCGCTGGCTTTCATGCTGAAGAAGCTCCTGTTTCCGAACTTTGATCCTCGTGAACCTCCGGTGCTCCGTCCAAGACTACCAGTGTTCGGACACATCATCTCTCTCATCAGAGAATCAGGCGGCTTCTATGCCAGATTGTAGTATGTTTTCGGCCGTCTAGACAAGCGGACACTCTTGCTGACTGACGCGTAAAGCAATGAAAATAAAATGCCGATTTGCACACTGCCAATGTTACATGGCAAGATGTATGTGGCAAACTCGCCCTCTCTGATCGCAGCGGCCATGTGCCATGGAGACATCTCCTTCGAGCCATTCCAAATCGAAGCCTCGTCGGCCGTACTGGATCTTCCGAGTCATCATATAGACACCCTCATGCAACCGGGAATCTTGCACCATATTGAGAAAACTATGGCGGCCAATCTACGCCAGGACGCGCTACAAAAGATGAATCGTGCTGCTCTGGAATACCTGGCAGGGGTGTTGATGACAATCAACACCAAGAGCCCACTCGAAGAGTCCGATGGATTCGAATGGATCAAGGGTGCCGTGACCATGGCCACTGCGACTGCTCTGTACGGGAAAGACAACATGTGGGACGCCGAGAAGCTTGAGGATCTTTGGTGAGAAGAGTGCGCAAACTGAGTGGCATGGCATCTGCTAACATCGAGTAGGACATTTGAGAAAGGTGCAGCGCTCTTGGTGATGAAGGTTGCACCGAACCTGGTTGCTCCCAAGGCTATCGCTGCCCGACAGAGGATGAGTGATCTCATCCGACCTTTCTACAAGGCACGAAAAGATGAGAATTCGGATGTGGCGAAGATTCTTCAAGACCGAGCTAGGTACCTCCGCGAGCTGGGGATGGCATCCGAGGACCTCTCCCAGACCGAGTTTCTGATTCCCTTTGCTGCAACGTTGAATACGGCACCGAACTTGTTCTGGACATTTGCCGAGGTGTTCTCTAGGCCAGAGTACATTGAGCGTATCCGGCAGGAAGTCCTAAGGGTGGTCGTAGCAACGAAGACTGAGACGGGACGAGATGTGACAATCAATGCTAAGAGCCTGGAGGCAGACTGTCCTTTCTTAGGCGCTTGCTTCCGCGAAGTTCTGAGACTCCACAGTGCGCAGATAGGGAACCGACGTGTTATGAAGGATGCGACACTGGAGGACACGGATGGTCGTCAATATCTGTTGAAGAAGGGTACCAATATGCAGTGGTCGGCAAGCGTCACGCATTTCATGCCGGAGATTTGGGGCGATGATGCCGCCTCTTTCAAGCCAGAGCGATTCCTTGACGTTGATCCCCGGGAGGAGAAACGGAGACGTGGGGCACTGATCCCGTTCGGCGGCGGCCGCTACCTGTGCCCCGGCCGTCACTTTGCCCAAACGGAGACCCTCGGGTTCGTCAGCGCGTTGGCTCTTGGGTTCGACGTGGACGGCGTCAAGGTTCCTGCGGCGGAAGCTCCGCCACTAGGTGGAGCCACGAGACGACCGGCAGGTAATCGGGCAGCCGAGCAAATCAAGATTTCGCGGCGGGAGGGTTGGGAAGACGTGACATGGAGATTCGTATGTTAGGTCGTCCATTAAAGCTTACAGTTTTCCTACTCAAGATCTGTCCCGTCTGGCGTGAAGCGTACAGGTGGATGCCTCTCACATCGGTGAGATGTGGTGGCATCGGCCTTATCCCATGTCGACGAAGCAGGATCTTAGCAGAGGTGTTTGGAGGGTTGGAAGTTGCGAATGCAGACCACTGCGTGACTTTGCCTTGACAAAACCGAGCTGAAGCAATCGATGCGAAGAAGTCCCGCCGTATGATTGGCGATATCGTTCAGCAGCGACGTACAATGGCGGAAGTGGTTGCAGCCGGCAAGTGGCCCCCCTGTCAATCCCGGCGTCATGCGTTGAGCTGTCAATTGCGAGTCTGCAGGTTGAAGAGTCTCTGGCGCCGCAATTGGCAGAAAGTGGGAGGATGCGGTGTTGCGTGACGGACCAGATGGAGTGTCATGCCGCACATAAGACGAGGGTAGTCCAGCCATACACGGGTGACGGAACAGCGGGCGATAGTCGACGTGGCCGATCCCATGGGATGATTCGGCCAACCGTTATCAGCCAGGCATCTTTTGGCCTCCCGAGTTGGTGATGTGATGCAAGGATGAGATATGGGGGCGGGAGCGATAGCGAATGGCGCGTCAGAGTACGGATAGACTTAAACGTCGATGAACGAGTGGCTGACGGAGGAGGGCGAAGGGCACGCTGACAATGTGCATTTGCAAATCCGGTGCCGAGTTCATGGCGGAATATCACAACCTTTGACCGCAAGGTTACCAGACATCCCTTCCATGATTGTGGTTTGTCGTTGGTCCAGGGCCTCCAAGCACGTTGGCTTGGCTTGCCTTGCTTGCCCTCCAGGGTATAAATGAAGTTGTGGATAGAGGACTCGGGGTCTATGCATCCACGGCGGGTAGGTAGGCGTCGGGATGAGCCATCGGTGAAGGGCGTTGGGCGAAGCTGTGGTCGTCTTCGCTTCTTCACCGCCCTCTGGCGGCCGGGGGGTCTGTTCGAATCCCCTGCATCTTTGTTGCGGTCAGGGTTTGCAAGATCTTTACCTACTTTTCTTGGGTTGTTCTTTTGCAAGGAGCGCGGATAGCTGCCGGCGGGCCCTGTGGGATCTCGCGCCGTGTTGCATCAATTTTTTTCTGTCTTCGGCTCTCGCCGGACGCTGTTGCCCCGAGCAGTGGATGTGCCTGATGTCCGACGAATATGCGAATACACAGGAGACACACGAGGTGCCGCGGTTAGAAATAATGCAGACCGATTGTCGGAAAAAGTAGATTGGGAGAGTGGAGTTGAACGAGAAGCTTTCAGCAACTTTCTTGGAATGGTCAATGGATGAGGTAATAAGGTCAGGTCGCAAAAGAGCCTTTTCGAACTCATCGTTGGCGCACTTGTGGAAAGTGCGTGCCTTGGGCGGGTCTCTGTCGCAGGGCAAGCACGGGATGTTGGGAGCGAGTTTGGGGAAGGAGCTGTTTGTGGGGACCTCCCAAAGGAAGGGGAAGGGTGACGGAAGCAGCTGCCACGGCCCACGCCGTTCCTTCTGTTTTGCTGTGCTTGCCCAAGCTGCCTCACGGATACCTACAGGCTACTGGTGCCCCATCGCCAACGGATACACCTGCAATTTCGAGACGAGGAAGGCGCAGTTCGTGCGTGTCAATTCATTCTCTCGACCTTCCCCGCACTTTGCATTCGAGGAGGAAACAACACGCCAACTCTTCTTCTCCTCATAGTTCTCTGCTGGAGGCAACAGACCGAATGCAAAGGCAGCTATAGTCAAGTCAGGATTCTCCAAGGTAAGGTAGGTACGAACAGGTAGGTATCCGTAAGGTAGGTAGGTACCTTTAATGATGGCAACCAGTCGTCGTGTTGACGCACCTGCTTCATCGGCCTTGCCTGCCCCCGCTTTCCCTCTCAGCCCAACACCAAGGCTCAGCGGTGATCCATGGACGGGGAAGGAGAGGCCGGGGGGTTGGGGACCTGAACCCTGCTTGACGGAAGGAGCCCCTGACCACCCTGACGCGCCCGACGTGATCATGTCAACTTTCCTCTGCACACCTCACCTTACGTAACTTAATGTACTTTATGTCTTGCCTCAGGAACCCTCTTCTGTTCCTGAGGAAGGTGCGTGAGAGTGACGGGAGTGACATGACCCTCCCGTCCCAGTTACAGTTGGCGCTGACTGTGCACCAACACCATCGTCCCGTCGTCGGTGCCAGATGAGGTGGGCCCCTTCTCCTCATTCCATTGGGAAAAGCGAAAAAGCTTCAGGTTTCCAGTCTTGTCGGGCCAGGTCCGGGTCCATGCGAGAATCCAGCGCCGCCCGTCCTTCCGCTGCTGCACTCCTGCACCTCGAAGCTCTTCATGGCGGTGGGCGGGTCCTTCCCAACTTTCCCCAAGGGCCCCCAGGCACAAGAAAAAAACACACAAAACTGGGTGATCCGGTCATTTGATGCATCATCATTGGCACCTTGGGGAAGGAACGGAATGGGGGTCCAGGGTGGCTCCCAGGAGGGAGGGGAAAGGCGGCAGGCGGCGGGCGATACGTACCGGCAGCTTCCCGGTCCTCGTCTCGTCAGTCTGTCACTCAAGTCTGTCATTGTCACACATATTGGTTTTTGCTGCTGAAAGCATTCAGGTGAATCCCCTCAGTCTGTTGTGTCTACACAATCCACTGGTCTATTGGCTTTTGACTTAATGAGAGAATCCGAGATTATATGGAAGACTCTCAGCACATAAAGGAGCAAACCTGACAGCTCTGTCTTGCAGGCAGAATGCAAGGTACCTCATCTTCTTCAGCAAAGTGATACGAAACATTCTTGAGCATTTGAGAATCTAGCCATAGCGTCGCCCACTGAGTGTTTTGTTGACATTCCATGTACCTGGACGGGATAGTGTGTGGCAACTGGCTACCTAGATGAACTTCATCAAACCATCATATTGCTTACATCGGTGCTGCCGTCAGCAACGGTCGCCATCAGGGTCATGTTCAAGACCACAGCATCAACACGACACCCTCTCGAGTCTCATATGAAAGAGTCGAGGTGACAAGAGACATGCAGACACGGCGCGCAACACCCAAGACAAGACGCAAGGCACGCCACCTTAATTACCCCAACCTTTGTCTCCATTCCCCTTGCTGTGGGTGAGGTTGCCATACCTTACAGATACCTGACTCTTCCTATCATAAATGCACTTTTAAGATGCATGAGCATGGTCGTCTACGTAGCATCACGCCAAAGAAAGTTACCTTTAACCTCAGGTCAGCCAGAAACAACAGGAAAACACAGCCCTTCCCGCACTCTCGCACGACTCGCCCTGAGGAGCCCCGCGCCCTGGGCCATCTTTGTCCACCGCCAGTCTTTCTACTTGGAAGTTGGGGCATCCCGCATGCAACTCTCTGCATTGTGCATTCCGCATCTGTTTGGTGGCTTGCCTTGCTTTCCCCTCCCTACTGTGTATGTTCCTAGGTTGCGATTCGAGCACGGCAGACAAACCCACTCGTTCCTTGCCTGCCCGAAGACTAACTTAGAGACTAGAGTGATGATGTGACAGCCCATTCGTAAGAAATGCTGTGCAGAGCTGCCGTGCGTCCTTCGTTTTCCGGCATGCGGCGATGCGCTGTCGACTGTCGACGTTCTTCTTCCCCGCCCTCGTTCCTGTTCCAGTGTTCCTCGATCAGATGCTTTGACCTTTGACGGCAGTACTATTGCCAACGGACAGTCGCACTAAGACTCTGCGGACCGTCTCTTCCTGCATAAGCTTACCTGACCTTACCTTGCCATAGTGTGCCACGGTACGGATAGGGCCCCTTGGATCGTCCATGTCCCCTTGCGCATCTTCGTCCCCCCTCGTTTCCCCCCATCGACTCCTTGCTGCTCTCCAGCTCCTCCACGCCTTGCGCGCCGTTCGGTCCTGTCTTGGAGCTTCTGCGTTCGTCGCGAGGCGCAAAATACCTTGTCAGCTTGGGTTCCCTGCAGCTTCGACAGTGAGAAAGGGTTCAGGAAGGAACACACGTCTGGATCCGTAGCTGCCCAGACCCCTTCCTTTCTTCCTTCTACATTTCTACTTTGTTGGCTCTTACCTTCGATTACTGGAAGATCAACACGGGGAAGGTACTGGGTACATAGTCGATTACCTACTCAACCAGACAGTCACGTGAAGTCATCACCACATTTCCTCGAGTCTGGCGCGGTAAGCGGGAAGCTACGACTCGACTCCAGCTTCCACGAACAAAGCAACCTCACCATCTCATCACGTCAAATCTGTCAAGCAACAAAAAAGCCCACCAGCTTGCGGCAAGGAAAACAACATCCATACGTATCCGTACTTCGTTCCCCCGGGCGCGGCGCATCGACATCATCGTTTCCCATCAACGGGGGGCCACCTGTCTCACTAGCGCGAACGAACCTCCCCCGGCATCCCTGTCACGTTCCGGCTGATTTGCGCCCATTTGCCAGCGGCGGCCCCAAGGTCACCAGCTCACGGTCCCAAGTCCCCTAAGGTCCCCCAACCTGAGGTAAGTCTCCAAGCTGGACGGATTGTCGAACTCGACTTTTGGACTAACCGCGTCTCCAGCTTGACCTCACCACCACCTGCAGACTGCAGTCACCAAGGGTGAACCACCCTGTCTGTCACCTTGACTTCTCTCTCTTGAGTCTTACCCCATCCCCGAAAGAGACAAGACAAGACACCACCATCTCTTCTCAACCCACCCACACCAACAAGAACCGGGACCCTGTCGCCAGTCCACTACCACCTCCACCTGGACCTTCACACCCTCCGGCCCCCGAGGTACTGCAAAAAAAGAGGCGAGGGCCAAGGAAAAGAAAGAGAGGAAAAAAACGAGAGTGAGCACAGGCACAAGCTGTTCAATGCCAACAGCCGGCAAGCCCAGCTCCACCGAAACAGGATCCGACCAGGGGAATCCAAAATAATTCTGCGTCCGTGTAACACAATAGTGTGTCGCGATCTTCCTCTGCTCCTCGACACTTCCCTCCTCCTTCCCTACCTTGCTTCTCACCTCACCTCACCTTACCTTTCATCCTCAACCTTACCCTCCCACAACACCAAGCGATTCTTCACCCGTCGCCCGATCGAATCTTCACCACCGCGATCATCACCGAACGATACCTTTGCCTATCGAGCGATCCTCTTCGGCACCCGCACACGACTCTGCTTTTGCGATAGCATCCACTGCACCCTAGTCGCCGTCGCGCTGACGCACCCTCCGACACCTATGTGCAATCCACCCTGTGGGCTTTGAGCTAAAAACTCGGCGCGATGGATCCAAGACAGCCGCCACAGCTGCCCTTCTCGCGCAACGCTGCTTCGCAGTACAGCCGCTCACCATTTCCTCCATCGTCGAACACGACCGCGACATCGACACCGAACCAGTCGCCATTCCCACCCGTCTCCCATCCGCCTGCGAATAATCCTCCATATGCCGAGCATCAGCGACGCTCCTCAGAAAATCCATACTACGCATTGGGCCCAAGATCCTTCCCGCAAGAGCCAAATTCGGGACCTCCTCCTCCTTCAGGCCACTCTCGACACCCGAGTGCATCCTCATTACCTGGTGGTCCGCCGATGAATCGTAATATGCCTCCTCCGGGCTCTCCTCCCCAGCCTGGGAATCCACCTCCTCCGGGATCGCATCAGATGGGGCACTATGGCCTGCCTGTGCCAAGAGCTCCGCCTTTGAACGTTGGTCATCCGACTTCATTCCCAGGCGGCCGCGAGCTACCTTCGCTACACTCAATACAAAGAACGGGGAGCACCGGCAGTTCAATGTCAATATCCTCAATGCTGGGTGGCCCTCCCGCAGCGCAAAGAGACTCACAGCCGCCGCCATCGCATTTTCCTGCGCCGGCGACTTCGGCGCCTTCTGGACCGACGTTCGCGCCGACGATGCAGGTTTCTCCGAGAATGCACTCTGCTTCCTCCGACTATCAGCCTTTCAGAAGACCCCAGACACCTGACCATCAGCGCCCGTATGATCCGAGAGGTAGCGCCGCTGCATCGCCTCAGGGTGCGTATTCGACCACGCCCGAGATGCAGCGGTACGGCACACCCCAGCAGGGTTACCACCAGCGCGGCCTTTCAGCTCAGGATGGTAGAGAGTCGAGCCGAATGCCTCAAGGCCCTCCGCCGAGGCCCACGAGCCAGCCAAAGTCCTTTCAAAACATGCCGCCAAGGCCTGCTGAGATGGGTCGGAATAACGGACCGGAGGAGATGTATCCGAGGCGGGAGGAGATATCTAGAGGCTCGATGGAGTACAATCCAGAGCGACCTGGTCTGAAGCCCATGACCTTTGATGACCGTTACCGCGCAGAAAGGGATCGACGGGACGAGATTGAGTTTAGGGAAAGAGAGCGCAGAGACAGAGCATATTCGGGAGGCGACGGTGGTCGAGGACCTCCCGTACACCAGGGCGAATACCGGCCTCAGGAAGTTCAAAGAGGGCAGCCCCCACCGTTCAGTCGCCCGCCGGAGCAGCAGCAGCGTGAGCAAGGCCCTTGGCCACCAAGACAGCAGCCGCCTTTTGATCAGTCCAGGGTACCTTACGATCCCGCTGGGCTGCATCCGAGGCATCACGAATACCCCCCGACCTCTGCGCCTAGTTACCCACCTCAGGGTCAGGCTCATCCCGCTCCAGCTCCTCAATTCCAGCAACAGCCACCTCCCAACGACCGGTACCCCCCTCCCAATCATGCTCAACAGCCTCCTCCAGGCCAGCCTGGGCCACCGGGACAGCCTGGTCAGCCCGGTCAGCCGCACCTGCAGCTGCAACAACCACAGCAGCAGCAGCAGCCTTTTGACTCTCCCGAGCGACGAATAAACCACCTACACCCTCAAGCGCAACCCCCTCCTCCGCATCGTCGAGTCGAGGAAGGCCCGCCGCCTCCATCTGTCGCGTACAGCGCACCTCATGGCCCGCCGATGTACGACTCACCTCGCAACCGACCTGCTGAAGAGCACCCAAACAATAATCAAAGAAATTTGTTGGCGGTCCAGGAGATCAATCGGAAAGGACGGGTATCGCCATTGCCTCAGGCTGTCCAAGGAGCGCAATCACGACAGCCAGGACCACCAGGGCAACTCAGCATCAAAAGCGAGTTCGGTAAGATGTTCTCCGGAATAGGAAGCGGAGTCACCCTTACTGGCAGCCCTGTCAATACAGTAGCTCCATCACCATACACAAACGCGAGCCTCGCACGACGCGACGAGACAGAAGGCGCAGCGCACGAGTCTGGACCAGACACGACAGCACCTAAACCCAAGGGCAGGCGAAGAAAGTTAAAAGAAGATGACACTAAGGGTGACGAGGAGAGCACGGGACGACTGACGCCTGTTGGTCGAGCAAAACGCCCGAAGACTCATCAACACCACCACCATCAGTACGTCCCGGTTCCCTCTGGTCTTTCTACAACGACTAACGACGACAGCCATCATCACCATCATCATCATGGTCATCATGGTGTCGATCACGCCAACGCTCCCACTCCTACTCCCAGCGGCGGCACACCTTTCAAGAACGTGAAAGGAAGCACTCCCATCCCATCTCCGACGGGACTGGCGAAAGATTTGCCGGCTGCTCACCACCACCATGTTCCTCGACCGGCACATCAGCACACGCACGTCAAGGAGACGCCAGCAAAGCAGGCCGTGCAGAGCGCGACGAACATCCTCCCTCCCAAGCCAAAAACGATCGTGACCTCAAAGGCTGTCCTCGAATCGATTGCTCATCTGCCGCGAACACACCTGGGCGATGTGCTATATGAACCCAAGCTCATGCCCGCGAGACAATTGCCAAATGTTCCATCGGGTCGCGGGTTCTCCTCGACTCCCATACCACTTCCCTGGAATGTCATCAAAGACAAGGAGAACTGTACACTCACGGTCAAGGTTCCCAAGGTGCATCTCACTTCAGCGGCGAGGGAAGAGATCACGGCTCGCAGAGCATTGTGGGGCACAGACGTGTACACGGACGACTCCGACGTCGTTGCTGCTTGTATCCACGGTGGATGGATTCGAGGTGAATGGGCTGACGACGTGGATGTGGCAATGTTGGACCTCGATCGCGGTATCAATGCCCCCGAAAAGGAAGTTCCGACAACAAAGAGACGCAAGGAAAAGGAGAAGGAGGAGAAGGAGGAGAAGGCCCGGTTCGAGGCCAACTCGGCCACATACCTTGACAAGGCGCCCAAGACGGGTCCTGTCACTGTGCCCGTCGATCGCGATATGCACGTTAGCCTCGTGGTCCTCCCACGATTGGATAAGTACGGTAGCACTACGCGCTTCGGCATTCAGTCGCGAGAGTTTGGCGGACGGTACAATGGTCGCCAGTCGGTCCACGACGGCATCAGCTTCATGATTACGGGTATTCGCTGGGTCACGAATGGCGCTGGTACGCAGAACCGTCTCCGTGGCAAAGGTCGCCGAGAGCGAATGCGCAAAGCCATGGGAGAGATGCACGCGGCCAGCCGTGGCCTTAATGGGGCCGCGCTGGAGCGCGAGAAGCTTCGCCTCAGTAAGATTCGAGGCGAGATCGTTTCTGGCACCTGGTGGAAGAGGAATCAAGGCGCGCGCGCCCCTGACGAGTACAAGGAAGAGAGAGCGCCGAGTGAAGGTGACAAGGAGAATAGAATCGACGGAGAGCCTCCCCAGAGCGCGGCCCCCAAGGCGAACGGGGTTACCGCGAACGGGGTTACCGCGAACGGCGCTCCAGCGGTCGATGGCGACAAGATGGATGTGGATGGCGCCGCCAAGGTTTCTGACGCTCCGGCTGCTTGAGACATCTATCAACATCTATCACGGCTTGATTTGGAGACGAACGGCATATGAGCATTGGGCAGCGGATGACAAAGTTGGAGTAGTTTTGTAGGAGTAGCGCTGGTTATAATACCCAATACTTTTTGAATACTTGAGGTGATTTGAGATTTTTATATGGTATCTTGATATGATTATGGTGGCTAGGTACTATACACTGATGATACAGCTGCGAGAGGTGCTTCTTATTGAAGCTTGTTGACCAGCGAAAGACATTCCGGTGACTTCTTGGTGTTTCCTGGAGGAAATCACAAGACGATGGACTTCATCCCGACCAAGTCGCTCTCGCTCAGACAGCGCCCGACTGTCGAGAATATCCACTCCGGCAAGCAGATGGAGTTTTTGCTCTTCAAACAGTATCTAAAAGTCCGTCACGCGACCGTTGTAGCTCCAATCCCCACCAGACCCCCAACGAAGCGGCTCCCTCTTGGGCCCGCCGACCTCGCCTGTGCGCGGGTTGATGTCGCCCTCGAATTCTGCGGGGGCGCCGCGGACGTAGTTTGGGTGCATTGTGTCTTCGTCCGTTGCTGCGATTGTAGGGGTTGCTGTCGCGGGTTCAGTTGCGGTGGCGGTTGCTGTTGTGGTAGCCTCGGTGGCGACTGCGGAAGAAGAGGCATCGGCAGAGGGAGAGGTAGATTGTGCCGAGGCAGAGGCAGAGGCAGAGGCGGGAGATTCGGATTGCTCTTCGACGAGGTGTTGGAAGGCGCTTGAGACGGAGGCCTGGCGCTGGAGACGCTCGAATTCGGCTTGTTGGTCTGCTGGGAGGCGCGGGGGCGCGGGACCGTGGGAGAAGGCTGAGGTTGAGGAGAGGCGGGACGAGGTCCTTGGGAGGTTGAGGAGGGGGCGGAGGCGGAGGAGGCGAGACATTTTGGGTGTTTGTCGACTTGAGTTATTGTCGTTGTTTTGATTATTGGGTAGGTTAAGTGAGGTTGTTTGGAGTCGTTGGTGGTGGTGGTTTTGGTCGTGATGTGAAGTGCGGGTTGGAGATGGACGATTTCGGAAAGATGGCGAAAATGCTCGGGTAAAGAAAAATGTCACAATGTCATTGACGCGGGTTGGTCGGAGCGCAGCGCAGCGCAGCGCAGGAGGCGTTTTTTGTTTGGACCCCTGCTGCACCCCTTTGGTTCCCCAATGATCAAACCCCAATGGGCTGGGCTTCCGGTGGCGGAGGCGGATGGGGCCGAGGTTTGCCGTTACACTCTGCGGAAGCTCATCGGTACCTGGGCGGCCCTGAAGGTACGAGCGGATGACATAAGAAGCTCACGAAAGTGGTGTGTAGGAGGATATGGGCGGTGAAACCTCCAGTCCAGATCCCCCGGATCAAAGCTCGATACGAGTCGTCGGTGTTCAGGTATGCTCTTGCGCGTCTAACACGAGGCGTCCTACCACTTTTACTACTACAGCTAAGGTATTATTATTACTTCGGTCCTGAACCATCCCTCCTTCTACTGAGAATCTTTTGGGGTATATTCTTTCTTGAATACATGTAGAGGAGTACTAAAGACCTGGGGATGCGGTCGTCCAGGTCACATATGCTGTAGGAGGTATGCTTGGAGGCGGCATCCTGGGGGGCGCAAGTTGTTTGGGATTTGGCGGCAAGTCGGTTCTTACTGCAAGCAAACCAGAACTAGATATGGCGCTCTAGTCACGGGCGAATAGGCAGCCATGGGAGCCGCTGCCTCTGCCAGTTATACAACCACCACCGATGAACGCTGCTGGGCACTCGTCACTTACAAGTAGGGGCGACAAGTTTAAATACTATGGCTACGATTCTTCCCTTCTAGGTATGCAAGGGCGCGCACTGGTCAATCAATTGGCCAAGCAGCCATAAAAAAGAGACCGAAACTGACATCTGGATCTAGCCTGAGAGAAGTACCGTCTCAGGGGCCGGAGTCGGGACACAACTGTACGGCAGGCTAGCATGTCTCGTCAAGGAATAGACTGGGCGAGGCGAGTAAAACCGTCCTCAGCTTCCTTAGAGGGGTGTTCAATTTGCCATTCGCAGACCCTACCATATGCTTCAGGTACCTTACCTTCTAAATCACCCCTCGACGCATATTGCATATTGAATACACTGGGAGATATGAGATCTTCCTCGAGAAGAAGAACCATAGTAATACCGCAAGTCTTGAAGCCTATTGTTGCTCAACGGCTGGCCGAGAACCCATCAAGAGAGAATGCTTCCTATGGTTTTGGTGGCCGAGTCGCGGCGACACTTAACCGTCGTATTGTCTTATGCTATACTCTGCCAGTTGGTGCATACAACGGCTTCAATAAGTATCCGTACGCTTCCACCTTTGAACAACCAATAGTGACATTGTCAACATCGACGTTTCTTGGCAGCTTCCTTCGCCCCTCGGTAGCGACCGTATCACAGCTTCCTAGCCATCACTCTCCAACTCCATCAACGGGTATTGATGGAGATATTTCCCCAAGACCACTTGATTCCAAACTTCCAAGACGGCATTTCAAGCAATCTTCCACATGGCTGGCGGGCTGGCGCTTTCAGGGCACATCATCTTGGGAAGAAGAGAAGATGGATGGCGCTGATGCCAAGCGCTCCAATCACATCCCAACATTCGCACATCTGCATCGCTACCCTCCCGACTCGCCGGGAATCCCAACCCCGACACGCGAGATGCTGAACACCCCCAGTAAGCTCAAACTCACGACGGCAGCCCCGGAGAAGTTAAGCTTCAACGTCCGTCGACTCCAGGAACGCACCCCTCCATGGCATGGAAGTACAGCAGCCCGCATGCAGGCCGGGGGATCAGCTCTAAACGAGCACATTGCCGTATTGCCTAGCCCACTTCAACATGTTCCTGGGAATACCGATACAGTCATAGCACGGTCAGCCGGCCGCCAAGGCAAAGCCGTGTGCTCATATTTACAATTCCCAGGTCCATCATCTAGGGGCCAAGGGCCATGCCCGGCGCGTGGTGTCCATCGTGGGGTGCTCTCCGGACCCCCCGCTCCGGCAGGGGCAACGCCGCTAATCCCACCAACCCCCACCTCCTCCGATATTGCGGTCTCGAATCTTGGCAGAATGGCTGGCTTCTCTTCGCCGGGCAGACCGTGGACGGCGGTCCACTTTGAAGAAAACGCCGAGTTCACTATTCCCTTCTCTCTTTCCGAGAATTGTCTATCTGCAATGGGTTTCCAAGGAGAATGAACCTGAGATTGGAGGGAGGATTGCAGCTTGTGGCGTGTCTGATGGGCTCGCTTACACGGTGACAGGCAGACCTTACATGCGGCATATGATGATGCCGGAAGATGACTTACACGGCGATGCTCTCCCGCTTCCCTCCATGATATCCAACTCTCAAGAATCGATATAAATCTCCCCTCCGCTCCCTCTTTCACAAAGTCCTCCCACCGGCTCACCCTCGAACCTCATCCCTCCACAGAATAAGGACTCTCGAGTACACCCCCATCGCACTCAATATGCGTCTCCTCTCAACCCCAACCTCCCTCCTCACCCTCACCCTCACCCCCCTCGTCACAGCCTTCACAAACCCCATCCGCCGCCCCGGAGGCTCCGACCCCTCCCTAACCTACTCGGGCGACGGCTACTACTACCTCCTCTCAACAACCTGGTCCACCGTCGAAATCGCCCGCTCCACCACAATCGAAGGCCTCAAGACCGCCACCAAGAAGGTCGTCTACTCCTCCGCCGACGCCTCGCGATGCTGCAACGTCTGGGCGCCCGAGGTCCACTGGCTGGGGAACCGGTGGTACATCTACTTCACGACGGGCGGGAGCGCGAATTTGGATAATCAGAGGATGCATGTTTTGAGGGGTATGTCTTTTTCTTTTCCTTCACACATATCACACTCCTCTTCCTACTACCCGTATGAGAGTGTTTTGATCAAGACCATGACCACTGACTTCACAAACAGGCGGCACAACCCCCTGGGACGCCTACACCTACGTAGGCCGCATCGGCCCAGACGAATGGGCCATCAACGCCTCCGTCCTCCGCACCCTCTCCCAAGGCGAATACCTCACCTTCTCCTGCTTCCACGGCGCAACCTATCAATCCATCTGCATCCAAAAGCTCAACACGGACTACGTCTCCACCTCGGGCTCCGTCTCCCTCATCTCCCAGCCCATACAGTCCTGGGAACGCGTCTCCCACCCCGTCAACGAAGGGCCTGCAGCGCTCTATTTCGGGGGCAAGACGTACATCGCCTACTCTGCTTCGTACTGCTGGTCCGCGTCCTACTGTCTGGGTCTGTTGACGTGGGACGGCAGCAAGGTGCCGACGGATCCTGCGGCGTGGACTAAGGGCAATGGATGTGTGTTGAGTAGTGGGAATGGACATTATGGGACGGGGCATAATAGTTTCTTTGCGAGTCCGAAGGAGGATCAGATGTGGATTGCGTATCATGCTACTGCGAATAGTGCGGGCGCGTGTGATGATAGTCGGTATACCATGGTGCAGATGCTCGGGACGCATAGTAATGGGGCGCCTAACTTTGGGACGCCTGTTGCTTTTAGTTATGCGTATGGCGAGCCGTCGAAATAAGTATGGGATGGGGGTGCCGTGAGATAGTGGACGAAGTTGGGAGGAGGAGGTTGACGACTTTCATGCTGTGGATAAAGATACGATGGGATGAGATGGCGCTGCAAACGGATGAATGAAGGGGACTTGAAGTCTAGTGCTCGATTCTTGTATATACTTTATGAGTGAAATTGGATGTATATAACAGTCGCATTCGTCTGAAAGATTGTTGTTACTCTACGAGCCGATCGACGGTTCACCAGGAGACAAGAGCCAGGATAAAATGGCGGGATTTCAGTGATTCCATAGACCTGTATTACATCGAATGCATGGCATCAAGAAGGAAAGTGTCAAATACTCAGGGCTAGGCAGGTCCTTGGGATAAAAAATATGGGATCGGAACATTGGTGATCCAGCATGACTGTCGCGAACCTCAAAAGGTCATGACGGGATTCACTACTTATACCCACATTGGTCGCAGACAGCTGGAACATCACCAAGAACTCATTAATGTTTCATAGAGGGTTTCCCGAGTCACGTGCAGTGGTGGTTGTGAAAAGTATTAATTATTCTTGTGGTCTTTCCAACTCGATTACCGGGCGTCTGCCTCATCCCATAGCACTACATCGCATTCGTGGATGCATATGGCTTGGGCCAGTAACTCTATACAGGGTATGCCATCATTAAGTTCGAAATCTTCATATTCCACTCCAAGGTATCGTGTGTTCAAAACAATTACGCTGTCGCTGCTGGATGGTATCTTCCCGTAATGTCAACGGTTGGCATTTTGCCTCTTTCGCCTTGATCAAGGCCGTGTATCCTATATCTGGCCATTGCCGACGAATTCTCGTTGCACTTCAATCTCCCCGCTGTCGGCGGTAAAACGTCGCTCGAGAACCCATCTGGTCTCGCCACTCTCCTCCTCCTTGATGTAAGATACACTGTCCGCGGACCCCTTGTGTTTGTGACCCATTCCAGGCCTTCGCTGAGGTTGGGGCGTCGGGTCGATGCGGGGCACGAGATTCGGATGCATGGCCGTGTCCGGGCTCTTCATCCACAAGCCCGAGTGTGAGATGGTGTTGGAGATTGAAAGCTCATCCATCTCGTCAGACTCCGGCACAGGATCGAACGCCGCGCTGTGCGTGAAGTGGGGAGAGTTCATCACTACCGCAGGACTTTGGTTCAGTGGTGGCAGAGGAGGAGGCGGTGACCCTAGAGTGGGCATGGACATGGTGAGAGTAGGGGAGCCTGACGTGCTACCTGCGTCTGAAGAATCCATGTCGCGGCTGCGAACAGAGAATGCCGAGTTCTTGCGACCATGACCATGTATGCCCAGCATGTTGTGAGGCCCCGGGCCCCAAGGCGAGCTTCCACCCTCACCCCTCTCCGATCTTGGCGAACCCTCGCGGCTCGAGACCAGACTGGCCTGCGATCCACCCCAAGCCCTGGAACGAAGCCGCATCAGCGCTGACAGGCTCATATTATCGTCACCATCAGCCATCATGGCTAGTTGGGCCAGGCCGGGGCTCTGAAGACTAGATGGACCGGAACCGATACCAGGTGGGACCGCGAGACTCATGATCGAGTTACGATTGGAGTACTCGGATCTCTCCGTGATAGGTGTGAGGTTGGGCTCTCGGGATACTATCCTCCCAGACTTGCTTCGAGATACGCCCGACGGCCCAAAGAAGCCGCCGTTAGCGTATTCAAAAGGCTTCTCATCCGACCCATTGGAACTATCCCTACTGTGGCGTCCGCCTCCTTCGACAGGAGCAGAGTAGAACCCAAACTCCTGACCATACCAACCGTCAGAGTCGTTGGCAAGGGCACTAGCGTTTGCCTCCGCAATGAAGTCGTCATAGTCGACATCGTAATCATTCAGATCTTCGCGAAAACCAGTGTCGTCGTAATCATCGTAGTCGTCCATGTTCTCATGCTGTAGGTCATCTAAGGACTCTCCACTGGGCGACATGAGCTCGCTTGGAGGGGGGGACGAGTCTCGTCGAAATCTACCGTTGGCGGCGGCTTCGAACGCCGCTGCCGCCAGGGCAGTTTGATAAGCTTCCACCTTGTCCTGACCCGTCGCCGAGAAGCTAGAAGTCATTGCTGAGGACTCCTGGCCCTGGGCTAAGAGGTCGCTAGCTCGCTTTGACTCCTCAACAGATGGAGCCGGCATGCCGACGCTGAGGGAAGTATGGGCCGTCGATTGCGAAACATTGGAATGCGCAGATAGTCGTGATGTGCTGTCGGAGATCCTCTTGATGTTCTCAGGGGCAGTGCCGTCTTGGACACTGGCATCTTGACTTTCGCCCACCTTGGCATCGGTCTCTTGCACGCTATCCTCAGGCGCAGTAGCACAACTGGTCATGGCAGCCCTGGCAGCTTGAGCCCTGGCAAAGGCCCCGGGAATAGGTCGGCCATACTTGTCTGTGTCGTCAAGATCAAATATGGACTCGTCAAAGTAGGAGCCGTCACCCTCTCCGGCAAATTCCAACTCATCGAGAAGGCCATTGTCAAAATAGAGATCGTCCTTCTTAGGGACTGACAGTGGTGCGGGTGACAGAGACTGAGTTGGCTCGCGCAACGTTTCGTCCTCATCTTGCTGTTCCGTATCGGTAATGTTCAAGCCTTCCATCGGAAGCCCGGCAGTTGAATCAGTCGTACTGGGGGATACGTTCTGGCCCGGAACAAAGCCCTCACTCAACACTTGGTTCAAATCCGGCGTGTCTCTCGAGATGGCGAATCCGATCACCTTGCCGTCTGCATCCCTTGGCGTTGCTAACAGACCGGCGCTGTGTGGACTGGTCAAAGCTGAGGGAGGGCCCGATCGTTGAAAGACAAAACCAGCAAAGTTCTCTTGGTCGTTATCGGGGTCGTTTTCAGCATCCTCGTCAAGTTCGATCTCAACTTCTGGCACCGGATCAAGGGCAAAGGAGTCCGTTCCAGCCGCGTCAAAATCTTCACCGTCGTCAAGACCCAAAGGATCTGTGCCGCCAGCGTCAAAGTCCTCCTCGTATCCGTAGTCGTCTCCAAAATCATTGCTCATCGGAATCGGCTCTTCAAACCCATCGTCCTCCATCATCGCATCGTAATCAAAGTCCTCGTCAAAGTCGTCGAACCTAGAATCACGAGGCCCGCTAGGTTCAGGGTCGGAAGTCTTCCTCTCAAGTTCGCGTTGTCGATGCCTTTCTTCGAGCAGCTTCTCGGCCTTTGCTGCGCCAACCATGTCGAAGCTGAATCTAGAGGACGTACTCTTCAATCGGCGTGGCACAGAAGAGAGGACATCTTGCCCAGACACGGAGGCATGTCTCGAAGGGGTTGCTCTTGTGGACGGTGTTTTCTTAGACAAGATCGAAGCCGCGCTAATTGAGGGTTTCTTGGAGATGATTGAGGCCGAACTTGACGATTGTGCGGTATCGTCTTTGGGCGGTACGTCGGGCAGAGGTTTTGATTCCAAGTTCAAGCTGCTTCTTGTCTTTACCGAGCCGCTCCCAGACTCAATAGCCGGCTGTGATATGACGCTGACGGAGCCCGAGCGGCCAGATTCAGAAGCACCACTTGTATTCCTCCCATGTTGAAACGCTTGGGTTGGTGCTGCGCTCTCTCTCGACGAAGTCTGGCCCAAGTCTGACATCTCTTCAGGTATCGGCGGCTGTGTTTTCGTCCCGGGTGTCGGCGCCGCGGCAGGGCTGGGGCCCTCATTGTTGGGGAGGCTTCGTCGAGGTCGTGGCGCGCTGAAGTCGTGAACTCTTGTCCCCCGAATGCGAGGATCATATGACGGGTTTCCCCCCAGGGGAAGGGGCGTTAAGTCTGGTGCGTTTTGGCTTGTCTTTCTCCGTGCAAGGAGTGTCGACATGGGATTTTTGAGAAAAGGCAGGCCTTTCCTGCCCTTGGGGGCATCGGAGCCATGATTTGCCATGCGGATTGGCTCGCTCGATAGTCTCGTTCCTGCGGGGCGTCGTCCGGTAGAGGCATAGCTTTGAGCTTGGGGCGAGCTCTGGGTGTGGCCGCCCTGGTGATGCAACTCGGTTGGGGTCGCAAAGGAGCTGGCATGTTTTGAGGCACTCGTGGGCTGCGGTGGGGGTCTCGTCGGAGGGGCGGTGTTTATCGGCGGGGGTGCGGGCTTCGATCTTGTGAATTGACTTTCGTGGTTGCCTTGAAGGACCGGAGACGCAACCAGATCCGGAGACTTGGCCGCCATTTGTTGTTTCTTGAGCTGCTGTTGCTGTTCCTGCTGTTCGCGTTGGTATTTGCGCAAGGCGACGCCACCGAGAAAGCCAGAGTCTGCGTTGTACGGTGAGCGCACCGGTGGAGGTACGGGCGGCTGGGGTTTCTGGGTGTTGGGCTCTTGCGTCACCCTGATCTTGGTATCGACAGTCGGTCGCTCGAGAGGGGAGGGTGATTCGGAGCTGGACGAGGTAACGCGGGGAATGGGCGGCAGGGTGGGAGGCAGTGAGGAATTCGTTGTCGAAGCCTGGGGTCGAATGTCTGGGCTTAAGGCGGCATCTTGAATGAAGGGAGAGTGCTGCTGGTGAATCGAGGGATCCCAGGGAGCAGTGGTAGAGGGCTGTTCGGGATTTGGTGAAGTGGGATTCGACTGTCCCCTTCGGTGGATTCGTAAATGGGAAAACATCGTCGTGATTTCGAGACGGTTGGACTACTGGATGGGTGGATGAATTAGGCGCGAATGGTGATCCAAACCACCGGCGCAGGGGTGGCGGGTGGTCGCAGAGGAGGAAGCAATTACGGAGACAGGTTGGCGGATAACGAGCGAAGGGAAGCTGGATCGGGCTCGCGACTCCAGTCCTCCAAGTCCAAGATAATCCCCCAAAGCTAGGTACCAGGAGTGTAAGGTAGGCAGAGGAGAGTGGACGACGTTGACGGCGTCTGTCTTCAGCCTCTTGAGTGAGACGCGATCACCTCCTTGCAGACAGAGGCGCAGTCATAGCTTGTCAGTCCTGGCTCGGATGCGATGGTGTATCAGCGTCAGTTTGCGTCGGCGTCGGATGTGTTGTGTGCAGGCGCGAGCGTTGTGAGTGTTGGTTGGCGGCGGTGGTGGAGGGATGTCTTGGAGATTCGATGCAAGCTATTGGTAACGGTGCCTGCTGGGCATTGGACGGAGGATGTTGAAAGAAGAAAAACCCGAGTCATACGCCTGCCTGGAAGGAGTAATGAATGGATGAATACCTTGCAGTGGTAAGGTATGGCGGCGGGGGAGAGTTGGTGGTGAGGATGGCAGGATCAGGTTGAAGATGACGGGATGGAGAAAAAAGAAGGGAAAAAGGCAGCAGATAACGGATACCTAGAGGTACCTCAAGGTATCGGTAAGCAGATTTGGCAGGCACGAAAAAGTGCTGGATGCCGTTAGCTGTCACCACTTCTTTTCTGCTCTTCGCATGCCTTGCCCGGTCCTTAGTATGAGGTGGTATTACTTGCGGCTGCTTGCTGTTGGCGGCTGCGTGGGAGAACCTTGTCCATGCCATGCCGGTTGGGCTTCGCTATCTTTCTGTCCGTCTTTTTACGGATGCAGCCTGTCTTATTTGTGTCTACCTACATTTCTTTTCACCCACAAGGCCATACCCTTACTATCAACGTCTCACGTTCTTCAGGATATTCAGACCATTTGCCAAGAGTAGCAGCCAGAGATGGAGTGATAATTTGGAGCAGGACTGCTTCGGGCTCTTGGGCTTCAAGCTCCATTCGATGCTCAGACATTCACAGTCCAAGGCCTTGGCTGCTGCTGCCAGGACTCCAGGACTCGGCCTCGTCTGCTGGGCCGTGCGGCTTTTTGCAAGCACTAATTATTGTTACCCAACATCCAGGGTCAAGGACTTGGTACCCCAACTTTAAGGATTCCAGCAGGGCGAGAAAACAGAGAGAGAATAGAGTCACCGCTCGGGCTGGCGTGCTCACTGCTGTAGGCTAGCCGTGTCAATGTCATCCATCATGTCATCCCCGATGGATCTTGGAAACAAGCACCAGGATTGCTGCAGGCTATCGGGTAAGGGCAAGAAAGGGTCCAGTCCTCCCCTCCATCAATGGTCTTTCGATCAATACGGATACCTGCCCGGAAAACAAGACTCAGCCAAGGATAGATGCCTTCCGACTGCATCAGCCCGACGGCAACTGCTTCGAACTTTTCGGAAGAGACGGCTCATCATCTGCTCCCTGCCTCGTCTTCGTCTTCGTCGCTACTTTCGTCCTCTCCCCATTCCTCCCTTTGTCGAATCTCTGTCTCGTCTCGTCTGGGCAACCATCCCACATCGACATCCACACGACATCCACAGAACATCAGAAACCCTCCGAATGCATCTGATTGGGTCCTGGCAGACGCACGGCGAAATGAAGCACACCCATTCCAGAGATCCATCATCCATCCACTTGTGCTTGTGCTGTTGGCCCCGTTTTCTCCGACCCCCACCATCCTTCTGACGGGAACGAGAGACAGACACGACAGATTATGTGATTATGTCATCCCACACACTGGTTGACCGAGGCACGTGGCTTATCTAACCAGCTAACAAAGCATCATTATGGATACAAGAATGCCTTAGGCTTATGTAAGTACGAGCATATGCATAGCACAAGTATGTGCTATTCAATTCTGCACAAACTAATGCACGATTTGAAGGAATGGCCATTCTTACTCTGTGACGTTGGGAATTCGAAACTCCAGTACGGATAACAATCGCAACGTTCCCAACGCCGCGGTGCCTAGGGCAGATCATCCCATCCTTCGCGACTGAATCGTCTCGTCCCAACGGGACAGATGGAAGGATGAAAGGAAGACGAAACCAGCCAGGCAGATAGATGGCTGCCCACATCCCTATGATCGCCGTTGACATCGTCACCTGGTCCCTGATGAGACGAGACAAGAATTGCTCCGACTCGTTAACACAGCGAACTTGACGCGACGTCAACGGCAACGGCAACGGCAACGGCAACGGCAACGACAACGACATGCCATGACCGGCACGCACGCGGCGGCCCGCATCTGGCGTTGGACCTTCGGACCCTGGGGCGATGTGGAATGTGCCAGATCAACGCATCGAGCTAGCTCTTTGAGAACACGAGGCGGGCGGTTCAACGCCGTACGGTTGCGGAATGCTCTCTTCGTTGGCACATGCTTGCTTGTCACGTTGTCCCATTTGTATCTGCCTTTACGAACAATCGCATGCTGACCATATGCAAAAGAATGACAAGAAGCCCAAGCGACATCCACCACGGCCAAAGGCAAAAGATCGACGTTGGCCTGATTCGAACAGACGCTCCCGAAGGAACATGATTTCTAGTCATGCGCATTAGACCACTCTGCCACAACGCCAGTGAGAAGAACTGGAGCGAGTCCAGGACCCTTGCTAATGGACGAGAGCTGAGGGCTCATGTACCGACAGCAATTGGTGCCACGGTGGCCCTGAGTCGAGATCCATTGGCCCCACCGGGCGGGTATGCTCCTGGCGGGGCGCTCCGGTCCCGATCCGGAACGTTGCGAAGTCCTGTTCAACGAAGAACCAGCTGCTAGACGTAGACCCGTACCGGCTTTTCCAAGTCTCCGTGGTCTCTGGCTACATGTCCAGATATGACTATCAGTCGTTCTGGAATACTAGAGGGCACATGATCAAGTGGCATGGTGCAGCGTCAGGTCACAGTTTGAAAAGTCACGAAGCACGATGAGATCAGAATCAGCAACAGAGTTGAGTATCGTGTTTCCTTCTTGAAGGCAAACTTCTGTCAAGCTATGAAGTCAGTCGTTTCGCGTACTACTTACTTAGACTCACCTCGGAGACATAAGCTTGTTCATATGTCCAACCGGCCCAGAAGAATTATGAGTCAAATCCCAACTCGTCGTCGCTTTCGAGGTTCCCAGCTTCAGCTCTCGCCCTCGAGGCATTCACAGCGGCCTTTCTCTGCAGCCTCCATTCGTCATTGATAAATCCTTCGCCACTGTTGAACCCACCAGCCTCCAGATTCTGCTGGAAATCCGTATTCGGCCCAACCAGCGCCGTC